ATTGTTGACTTCATATATATATAGAACAATTCTTTTAGAACTATTAAGAATGTTTATAGAAAACGGAATTGAAACTAGAGAATTTGAAATATTCTTTGGTAACTATTAAAAATGTTCCAATGTTTTTCTTGTTTGGCTTATTTTTTATCTAGTTTTAAATAAATTTCTTACTACCTCACCTTGTGCTAATTCCTGGGATAATCCCTAACTGGTTGTATTATTATGATAATATACTTTTTATGTTGAGCTTTATGTGTTAATCTGAAATATTTTAGGATTTGTACATTTATATTAATAGGTGAGCTTGGTCTACATATTTTTGGGGGAGTGTTATTTCTGACAGGTTTTGATATTAGGTATATTCCAGCATCATAAACAAATTAGGTCGCTTTTCATCCTTTTGTATGTTCCAGAACAGTTTCTACTTTCTATTCATTTTGACAGATAAATACTGTATAATAGAGATGTCAAAGAAGAGGATGCAAATTGGCATAGATTATATTGCCTCAGTAACTCTGCCACTTTTGTAGCTGGAGGACAGCCTTGATTGTGAAGAAGCAATTTGGAGCAGTAGGAGGGTCAAACGAGCCATTATTTTGGTGTTGAAGAGTGCTGTTGGCTGGGCAGGCACAGAGGTGAGCCAAGGTGGTCCTGGGGAGGGAAGTTAGTGCTGAGGAAGGGGAGCACAAGAGAAGATGAAAGGAGGTTTTACAATGGGCTGGAGGTGTTTAAACAAAGATATAAAAAAACAGAAGAGCTGGCCTGAAGGTAAAGAATGCAGCAAGGGCCAAGGGGATTATCTGGGAATGGGTATTCCTTCCCTTCCAGAAGTTTCCTGTGCTCTGCCTGTTGGTCACTGGCTCATGTTGGAGAAAGTAACATTATTTCAAGCACAGGGTGTTGGCTGTCCTGCCTTACCATCTTCATCCCAGCAAAGGCCTACATTTAGTGTAGGTGGTAACAGTGATCCACAAGCTTCAGGAGAGTTCAGCATGGAGGGCTGAGTAGAGGGAAGAAGAACATGACAGACTTCACCAATTTCGACTTCATGGCTAGGTTAAGTGCTTTGCAAGGTTATATTCTTTTTCAGTCTTCCTTTGCTTCTTTATAGCTCATATGGACAGATCCACAGCACATGCTGGTTTGTTTGTTTAAAGACACAGGACAGGGCCACCTTTGTGGTGCAAGGGGTTAAGTCGCTGCACTATGAAGCTATCTGCAGCCAATGCAGCACAACTTCGATTCCCCCGCCCACATGGTGCAGCAGACCTCTCCTGTTCCCCTCGCTGCTCCCCTCAGCAGTGTATTTCAGTCAATCTGCTTGTTCTGCTCCCCACTCTGTCTCTGGTGAATCCTCTCACGCTCCACACCTCTGGCCTGTGCCCCAGTTCTTATATGCATAAAGAAATCTTTAAAAATAAATAAATAAATAAGGACACAGGAAAGTCCTGTAGGAAAGGCCGGGAACCATTTGGTATGGAATTATTGGGGACTGTTTAACGTCATGCTTGTTACATAACATCATGCTTGTTACATAATGTCATGCTTGTTATATTTTGAATGAAATAAAATTTCACAGACAAATGAAATTCAGCCTGTCTAAACTCACACTAAGGTCAGTCAGAAATTCTAGGATTCTTTTTACGTGAGTCCTTTTAAAATTATTTTAACTGATGGGAAAATTGATAGTATTGTTTCCCTCTCACCTATGAAAGCTAACTATAACAACCAATAGAGCAGCCACAAGCTTGACATGGGGGGAGATGCCAGGAGCACAGATGGTTCACAGCCCAGATAATTAGCTTCTGAAGAAGCAGCATCTAATAAGTCTTCTGTGAAAATAGTTTGGTTGGGCACCACTGGGGACAAGCAGGGCTCCTCCACAAAATGTTGCCAGAGCACTCACCCTTTTCCTGTAGACAAACTCCTACTTACAAATCTTGCAGGAAAGAATCCAAATAAATTATGTAGAAACTCCACCCTAAAGAAGGGAGAGCATAATTCCCCACTCCTTAAGTGTGGGATACACACAGTGACTTCCAAAGAGTAAAGGATGAGGGCCTCCCTGGTGGCGCAAGGGGTTAAGCACCACACTATGAAGCAATCCGCACCCTCTGCAGCACAAGTTTGATCCCCAGCTGCCAGGGAAGAACCCATATGGGGCAGCAGACCTCTCCTGTCTCACCCGCTGCTCCCCTCAGCAGTGTATTTCAGTCAGTCTGCCTGTTCTGTTCCCTGCTCTGTCTCTGGTGAATCCTCTCACTCTGGCCGCCCCCCCCCCGGCCCCCACCCCCCTGGCTCCTGCCGCAGCATCTCTGGCCTCTACCCCAGCTCTTGTATGCATAAATAAATAAATAAATCTTTAAAGAAAAAAAAAGAGTGAAGGATGAAAAGAGTGTGGGTAGGGTAATTTTACAATGCAGAAACCTGAAAAAACACTACTTCTGCCAGGTGATAAAGGCCTACATCGATAGTCATTAGCTGTAGTGATGGTATGTACTCTTGGTGTAATGAAAATAACATTTAATCTCTGTGATCTTCCTCCTCCCAACCCATAACTCACTCTAAGCATGAGAAAATCATTAGACAGTGCCTCCCCGGTGTCACTGCGGGTTGAACACAGTGCTGTGAAGCTGTCCACAGCCTCTGCAGCACAGGTTCAATTCCCAGCCTGCCAGGGAGATACCCACATGGTGCAGCAGAACTCTCCTGATGCAACCACCTCTTGCCTCAGCAGTGTTTTCAGTTGTCTGCCTGTTTTGCTCCCCACTCTGTCTCTGGTGAATTCTCTCACCCTCCCATGCCTCTGGTCTGTACCCCAGTTCTTGTATAAATAAAAATAAAATCTTTAAAAAAAAAGTTTGAAAAAAAAAAAAGAAAATCATTAGACAAATTCCAATAGAGGGGTATCCTGCAGCATACCTGGAATAGTATTCTTCAAAACTCTAAAGATCATCAAAGACAAAGACTGTATGATAAACTGTCACAGCCAAGAAGAGTCTAAAGAAACAACTACATGTAATATGGTATCCTGGGGGAATCTTGGAACAGAAAGAGGACATTAGGTAAAAACTAAGGAAATTAGGTAAAAAAATGTGGACTTTACTTAATAATAATATGTCAGTATTGGTTCATGAATTTTTTCACATTGCCATACTTATATGAGGTGTTAATAATAGAGAAAGTTGTGGGGAGGCATATGAGAACTCATTGGACAATCTGCTTAACTTTTCTGTAAATCTAAAACCGTTTTAAAGAATAAAGCCTAGTAACAACAACAGCCTCAGAGGCAGCAGCATAACAACAACAACAATAATATCTGCAGGGATCAAATGAAGTCGAAAATGGGACAAAAGTGTCTCCAATCCTTTTAGGCTTCATAGGCATTCTCTTAGTTCTTTGGCTTTCATACTTTCATCTTTTGGGGGCACTTACATTGCACCCAGAGTTCCTTAGAGCTTATCCTAGCCACACCTTTCCGCATTTCCCAAGACTCTGTCCCCCACAGGCGATGGTGATCTCATTCAGTCTCATGGGCTTCAATCACTACCTCTCTTCTGGCGATTTCCAAATCATGTCTGGTTCAGAACAGTTCATTCAACTCTCTATTACACAGCGCCCCCTAGAGGTCCAGTTTAGCATGTACAAGCCCCAACCCTGATTCTCCTTTAAACCATGGCCCTTCTTTCATTTGTCTCACTGAGAGGCCAGAACCCAGGGCATCACCCCAGATTTCCCTTTCTCACACTCCCTGCCTGTCAGTCCCTATGTTCTGTCAAGGTGTCTCCTGCATAGGGCTTTGTACTGTGTTTTCTTCCACTGACTCTGCCAGGTCCTCAACACCTCTAGATTCCCTGCCTATGACTTCCCTTGCTTCATTCCTTTCCTTATTTTCGGTTTCTGTAAGTTGTTGACGAAAGAAAATGTTGGCTCTTTTAGGCCTCAGTCAGGCAGTTCCAAGAATCCCTTTTCTTTATCTTCAGGGGGAGGTGGTGTGTGTGTGTGTGGGGGGGGGGGTGTGGGTGTTTATTTCCTCTTTGTGTTGGGATGTAGAATCATATGGAATTAGTAGTTGAGTTACCATAATCTATTTAAAAATATAATACTATTAAAAAAAAAAATACAGGGGCCTCCCTGGTGGCGCAAGGGGTTAAGCATCACACTATGAAGCAATCCACAGCCTCTGCAGCACGAGTTCGATCCCGGGCGGGCCAGGGAGCAACCCAAATGGTGCAGCAGAACTCCCCGGACTCACCTCCTGCTCCCCTCAGCAGTGTACTTCGGTCAGTCTGCCTGTTCTGTTCTCCACTCTGTCTCTGGTGAATCCTCTCACTTTCCGCATCTCTGGCCTGTACCCCAGCTCTTGTATGCATAAATAAATAAATCTTAAAAAAAATACATACAACATACTAAGGCCCACATAAGGCCATTTTGAGAGCATTAGACAATTAAGCCAGATTTCTTACGGTTCAGATGGACCCACGGAGGGCCATAAGAGAGACCTTTGAATTAGATAACGGGAAAAACGGAGATTAATCATGTGCAGAAGCCAACAAAACGAGGCCTGAAAAATTAGGGCATGAGAGGATAACAAGAAACTTTTAAAATTAAGGAAAGAAAGGGAGACTAAATGGTTGCTTTCGGCCATGTTTCACAAAGCAACATAATGAAATCCCAGTCTCCTCGAGCCAGCCAGGAGTCGAACCTGGAATCTTCTGATCCGTAGTCAGACGCGTTATCCATTGCGCCACTGGCCCTGAGACAATCGCGCTGGGCTCAAGAATGAAACTTCAAGCTTATACTGCAGGGTTTCATGGGACGTGTAGTCTCTTAACGGAATTCTATAACCGCACGAAGCATTATGGGAAATTGAAGCTCCCGGAGAACCAGGCCCTGAGATTGGTGCGTCGCCCGGAGTCACACCGCACGTCACTGTGCAGTCCGCGGATTGGCGGGAAAAGCCATTTCCCCACCCTCTGCCTCCGGGTCCGGAGCTGTGAGAGACGCTCTGGTTGTTAGGGCGACTCGTCCCGCCTTCTGAGGGCCTTTCTCTGGCTTCGTGATTGGCTGTTGGTATCGAGGAATCCCGGCGTGGACAGCGCGAGGGAAAGATGGCGGCCATGGCGGTCGGAGCTGCCGGTGGGAGCCGCGTGTCCAGCGGGAGGGACCTGAACTGCGTCCCGGAAATAGCTGACACACTGGGGGCTGTGGCAAAGCAGGGGTGAGGGCCCGGGCCTTTGTCCCACCTCGGGGACAAAGAGGGGCAGGCTAGTCATCCCCGAAAGGCAGGGATGAGGGGGGTCGGAGGGGATTAGATGAGGGCGGGAGGAACCATTAATTCCTTGGAGGATGGAGAGCAGAAGCCTCGGGCCCTGGGCTACGAGGGAAGAAAAACCTGCTGGGGCTGTGTGGTCCCTGAGCCCGAAAGTTGGAGTTGTCAGGGAAACTCAAAACGGGGCCTTTCAGAACTCCAGGGCCTTGGAGAGCGAGGTTATTGTCTGAGAGTGGGAGAAAGTATTGGGGGGCAAGGGAGAGAAGAGAGAAACCTTGAGGTGGGAGACATGGGCAGTATTGGGGCAAATCTGGATGTGACAATCCTGGAAAACCAGCGACAGCAGAGTAGAAAAAATTCTACTTGGAGTGGGTTTTCATCTTTTCTCCTTACTCATCTTTTCCATGGCTGTGTTTTGAGGAGAAGTTGAGGCACAGTGCAGCGGAAGAGAGATGCCCCAAGGTGGGCTGAACTCAGCAGTCCAGTCGGGTGACTGATGGCAGCTGAAAGGGTTGTGCAGAATCGAGATAGCCTAATCCAGTTGCTTGGATCTCTGGGCACTGCTGCACTCTTTACGTGACGAATCCGGGTCTGTCGCGGTTGTAGGTTTGATTTCCTCTGCATGCCTGTCTTCCACCCGCGTTTCAAGAGGGAGTTCACTCAGGAACCTGCTAAGAATCGGCCGGGCCCCCAGACTCGATCAGACCTACTGCTGTCAGGAAGGGGTAGGGACCATCCATCCCCTATGCCCCTTAATTATTAGAGGCAGTAACAACTTACGTTTTATCGGTGCCCTCATTCTTCTCCTTTCCTGACTTGGATATATTGGTTAGTCCCTGGGATATAGATAACTCTTGTTTTCTTGCTTACCTGCTAAAAGCCTTATTTCCCTATCTCCATCAGGCTTCCCATACCTGTGATATAAAAAACACTACTTCTTATCTCTACTCTCTATTCTCTCCTAAGAACTAGAAATAGAACAAGTAAAGTGCTGAACCTCATTCAGTCTTTGTCTTTCTTGGGTGGGGGAGCGCAGACTGGAATACGCTAATTGTGGGAAAGCTTTCTCCGTGGATTCGTCCAGACTCAAAAGTGGAGAAGATTCGTAGGAACTCTGAAGCCGTAAGTTTTTTAGCCTCTTCATTGGACCTTTCTAAAGATCAGGTCTGAAACCAGTCTGGGTGGGGAGTTTTCCCCCACACCCTCATAACATAGTAAATCTGATGTAATGTAGTTCAAACTATTTGGATTGCTAGGTCTTAACATTTTCTTCTTTATCTCCATTCCAGGCCATGTTACAGGAGCTGAATTTTGGGGCCTATTTGGGTCTTCCAGCTTTTCTGCTGCCTCTAAGTCAGGAAGATAACACAAACCTGGCCAGAGTTTTGACCAACCACATCCACACTGGCCACCACTCTTCCATGGTATGACTGAGGGCCTTCTTTCCTACTGCATATTATGGTAGTCAGACTGTGCTAAGTACCTTCTTGTTCCTAGCCAAGTAACGGGTGCACTTGGCAGAGATGAAATGTCTAACACCTAACACCTCCTCCATCTAAAAGTGGTAAACAGAGAGTTAGAAAATAGATAGGCTGTAGAATTATTTCTAGAAACTTCCAGTTAAAATAAAGGGCGAGGTAGACATTTACCTAAGGATATACATAAGATACATATGCTCATGCATATAGTCACACATTGGGAGGAGCATATATTGGGGTTCATTTGAGATCTGATTCAAAGTTCTGTTGAGGCATTCTTTCTGAACCCAGTGAGTTCAAAGCAGAGTTCTAAATAGAGTATTTGTCATATGCAGTTCTGGATGCGGGTACCGTTGGTGGCACCAGAAGACCTGAGAGATGACGTAATTGAGAATGCACCAACTACACACGCAGAGGAGTACAGTGGCGAGGAGAAGACGTGGATGTGGTATGTCTCCTTTGGCTGCTGTGCCAGGACAGAGGGTAGGGTGAGGGAAACTATAGAGTGGAACCTATAGGGAGGTCTCCTTGAGTTGTGGTAATTGGTGGGTAATTGGTATTTGTGGTAATTGGTATTTGATTATAATTTTCTGTATTTGACTCTGGACAGGTGGCACAACTTTCGAACCTTGTGTGACTATAGCAAGAGGATTGCAGTGGGTAAGTTCTTGAGTGTCCTAGAAAAGGTGTCCCTTTTCTGACTTCCTGTGAATAAGAATTAAGAGTTCCATGTATATCTGGCTGCTGCCAGGCAGTTTGGCTTCTTTTTTTTTTTTAAGATTTATTTATTTATGCATATAAGAACTGGGGTATAGACCAGAAGTGGGGGGGGAGGGGGGTAAGAGGATTCACCAGAGATAGAATGGGGAGCAGAACAGGCAGATCTACTGAAATATACTGCTGAGGGGAGCAACAGGTGAGACAGGAGAGGTCTGCTGCTCCATGTGGATCATCTCTCTGGCCGGGGATTGAACTCATGCTGCAGTGGCTGCTTCATAGTGCTGTGGGTTAACCGATTGTGCCACCAGGGAGGCCCCAGTTTTGCTTCTTTATGCCTCAGTTTACCTTTTTTTTTTTTTTTTAAGATTTATTTATTTATTTATTCATACAAACACTGGGTACAGTCAGAATCGCAGGAGGGTGAGAGAATTCACCAGAGCCAGAGCGGTGAGCAGAGCAGGCAGAAGGACCGAAGTACACTGCTGAGGGGAGCAGCGGGCAGCAGGAGAGGTCTGCGCGCCATGCGGGACCCTCCTCCCGTGGCCGGGGAGCAGCCGGGGATGAACCGGCGCCGTGGAGGCTGCAGGCAGTTTCACAGCCCAGCGCTCAACCGCTGCGCCACCGGGGAGGCCCAGTTTACCATGTTCTTAAGGAGTAAACAGATCTTGTACAAAAGAGCAAGGAAAGACTTCTTACCTAGCAGTAATGGACAGGTATTTTTCCCCCCTTATGTAGCCCTTGAAATTGGAGCTGACCTCCCATCAAATCATGTCATTGATCGTTGGCTTGGAGAGCCCATCAAAGCAGCCATTCTCCCTACCAGTATTTTCCTGACCAATAAAAAGGGATTTCCTGTTCTTTCTAAGATGCATCAGAGGCTAATCTTCCGGCTGCTCAAGGTGAGTGATAGAAGGGTTCTAATTGCGCTCCACCTAATTCTCTTGCCGTATTCACATATTTTTCTATGGAGCTGACTCTGGTTTCTGGAGAGCAATTTCAGGACTGTGTTTGCTATTCTGATTTCTCTCACAGTTGGAGGTACAGTTCATCATCACAGGCACCAACCACCACTCAGAAAAGGAGTTCTGTTCCTACCTCCAGTACTTGGAATATTTGAGCCAGAACCGCCCTCCACCCAATGCTTATGAACTCTTTGCCAAGGGCTATGAAGACTATCTGCAGTCCCCACTCCAGGTGGGCCTGAATTGCAGAGTGAAGGGAGGTGGGAGGAAATGTCTCCTAAGGATACTTACCCTAAAATCCTACCGAAGCTCAGGACGTGGTAGGACGAGGTGGTTTTTGGTATTCTAGTACATTGTCCTGGCTAGAAACTGACTAACATACACTCCCCTTTCCCTCAATTATCAGCCATTGATGGACAATCTGGAATCTCAGACCTATGAAGTGTTTGAAAAGGACCCCATCAAATACTCTCAATACCAGCAGGTAGAGTGTGGGTTCCAAACTGGGTCAAGCCTGAGAAAGAAATGACGTGGGTGAGAGCGGGTTTCATAATATCTTTTCTCCATCCCCTTAGGCCATTTATAAATGTCTGTTAGATCGAGTGCCAGAAGATGAGAAAGACACCAATGTCCAGTGAGTGCTCATCCCACCGTCCCAGAGGTTTGCACACCGACTTCTCTAGATATCAGGTCAGCTTGACTCTTCCCCTTTCTTTCTTAGGGTGCTGATGGTGCTGGGAGCAGGCCGGGGTCCCCTGGTGAATGCTTCCCTGCGGGCAGCCAAGCAGGCTGACCGGCGGATAAAGCTCTATGCTGTGGAGAAGAACCCAAATGCTGTGGTAACGTGAGTAACGGTGTCCTTGCTGGGAGGTTTGTCCCTAGTGCCAGTTTTTCTTATCAGTGCCCTCATTTGTATCATCTCTGTTTTAGGCTAGAGAACTGGCAGTTTGAAGAATGGGGAAGCCAGGTGACAGTAGTCTCATCAGACATGCGGGAATGGGTTGCTCCAGAGAAAGCCGACATCATCGTCAGTGAGCTCCTGGGCTCCTTTGCTGACAATGAACTGTCACCTGAGTGCCTGGATGGAGCCCAGCACTTTCTGAAAGGTGCCTCCAAGCCTGGGGTGTACTGAGTGTGGGAAATGGATTATCAGCTGGTGAGGGTAGTGAGTCGGGCGTCAACCTTAGGAAGAAGTTAAGGGATTGAGCGAAAGGTAGGTTAGACTTCAGTAAGTCCCTTAACAAAAGAAGTCTTTCTGAACCTTGATGTTCATGTCTATAAAATGAGAGCAGTGGACAAGAGCCGACCTTTAACCTGAGGTCTGTGGACTCCTGGAGCCAACATGATATATCTCTTGGGCTTAGCTTTCATCAAAGTATCAAAGGGCTTTGTGACCCCATAAAAGTTAAAAACCACTAGATTAGAATATTTTAGGTTCCTTCCAGTTTTAATCCTTCCTTCCAGTGACTCCAAATTAACCTAGAAGTGGAACCCCCTGATGACAGGAGTGGGGAGCAGGTGGGCTTGGGAGAGGGACAACATCAAGCTGCCTAGGTTGGTTTTGATTTGGGAGGTTTGAGTCTTTGATGAATTCAGACACACAGTTTCCATCCCCTGGAAACTAACGTGACCCTCCTGCTTGGCAGATGATGGTGTGAGCATCCCTGGGGAGTATACCTCCTTTCTGGCTCCCATCTCCTCATCCAAGCTGTACAATGAGGTCCGAGCCTGTCGGGAAAAGGACCGTGACCCTGAGGTAAACAGCCACCCTCTTCTAGAATGCTTTAAGGACTTTATTTTATTTTTTTTAATTTTTTTTTTAAGATTTATTTATTCATTTATACAAGCACTGGGTACAGTCAGAAGTGCGGGAGGGCGAGAGAATTCACCAGAGCCAGAGCGGGGTGCAGAGCAGGCAGAAGGACCGAAGTACACTGCTGAGGGGAGCAGCGGGCGGCAGGAGAGGTCTGCGCGCCATGCGGGACCCTCCTCCAGTGGCCGGGGAGCAGCTGGGGATCCAACTGGCACTGCAGAGGCGGGCAGCTTCGCAACCCAGCGCTCAACCGCTGCACCACTGGGGAGGCCCAAGGACTTTACTTTAGTCCGTTTCTTTTTCTATGTTACTGTCCGTTTTCTTCCACTGGAGAAGAAGAGATGAAAGGAGAGTTGAGGATGTAGAGAAGTAGTGGAAATGGAACTATGTTTTTATCTTTTTATGTGTCCCTGAAGCTTGAGCGTCTGTCCCTGAAGAAACTGGTGTTTCTTACCTATCTTATCCAGCTCTTGTTCTGTCTTTTGGGACAGGCCCAGTTTGAGATGCCTTATGTGGTACGGCTGCACAACTTCCACCAGCTCTCTGCACCGCAGCCCTGTTTTACCTTCAGCCATCCCAACAGAGGTGGGTTCCTCCCGCTAGATGTGTGAGAACTCACCCTCCCGGTCCTACCTGCCCTAGACTTACCTTTCTGGTTATTGCTCATGCTTCGTCTATGGCTCTGGCCCCTCATTACCCACACAACTCTTCCCTGACAGATCCTGTGATTGACAACAACCGCTACTGCACCTTGGAGTTTCCTGTGGAGGTGAACACTGTGCTGCATGGCTTTGCAGGCTACTTTGAGACGGTGCTTTACCAGGACATCACTCTGAGTAAGTGTCTGGGTCAGTGGATGGTGGGCTGAGAGCAGCCTGGGCAGCTTATATACATGTTTCATTTAAAGTCACTGGGAGCCCAGGAGTTAGTGAATGGGGATCTTTGCTTACTTGTTTCTGTGTTCACAGAAGAGACTACTTGATCTAGGCAAAAAGCACAGCCATGGAGATTTCAATTTTTTCATTATTTTGTCCACACAGGCATCCGTCCAGAGACTCACTCTCCTGGGATGTTTTCATGGTTTCCTATCCTCTTCCCCATTAAGGTAGGAATCACCTTTAAGATTCCATAGATGAAGAAGTAATTTTGGCCTTTGGTGTTCTGCCCTCCTCTCCCCTCCCCCTAGACTGGTGCTTGGCTGTAACCCGTGCTCTGCTCTCATGTGCTCTTGGGTCCCTATCGTAAATATCTGGATATCAGCAATGGATTGCTTGACTTTCCCACATCTCTACCATAAACAAGAGTCATTTTTTATTTTTTATTTTATTTCATTTTTTAAGATTTATTTATGCATACAAGAGCTGGGGTGTAGGCCAGAGGTGCAGAGAGATAAGAGGAGTCACCGAGAGACAGAGTGGGGAGCAGACAGGCAGATCTACTGAAGTACACTGCTGAGGGGAGCAGTGGGCGAGACAGGAGAGGTCTGCTGCCCCATGTGGGTAGCTCCCTGGCCAGGGATCTAGCCCATGCTGCTGAGTTGTGCCACCGGGGAGGCCCAAGAGTCATTTTTTAAAAACTCAAACCAGATCATCTCATGCTCAAAACCCTTCAATGCCTTCCCACTACCTTTAGGATAAAGGTCAAAATCTAGAATGTTGCTTGTGAGAGTTGTGATCTAGTCTTAGCTTGCCTTTTAAGCTACTACTCCCTTCATTACATTGTTTCAGCCCTGTGGACCTTTGGTTCCTCTAATATCCCATCTTTCCTGTCTCAGACTCTAACATCTTTCTTTTTTGCCTGGAAAGCTCTTTGTTCATCTCTTCACTCAGCTAGCTTATCTTCCAGGTTTCCTTAAACATTCCTGTTGTCAGAAAGCTTCCTCTGACCTCCTAGACTAGGTCAGCGCTCCCTTTCAAGCACTCTGATTGTTCAGGGAACTTATCATACTTGATTATTTGTTCATTGTCTGATTGTTCAATTCAGATATTAGTTCTGATAGACTTCAAATAAGCTTCATCAGAATTGGAATATTATCATTTTATCTTCACACCCAGATCAATACATTGCCACATATAGTCATTAGCTTTGCCCTGAACCTTCTTGTCTTTTTTCTTACAGCAACCCATTACGGTGCGTGAAGGCCAGACAATCTGTGTACGTTTCTGGCGATGCAGCAATTCCAAGAAGGTGTGGTATGAGTGGGCTGTGACAGCACCAGTCTGTTCTGCTATTCACAACCCCACGGGTCGCTCATATACCATTGGCCTCTAGCCTTGCCTGCAAAAGTCCAGAGTTTTGGAAGCAGCTTAAGGTTCTGTTCCTGTAGCACAGAAGATGCAGGTACATCTGTGGGCTGTGATTCCCTTTGCCCATCAGAGAAGAGCATTTCAGTCTGCTTTCCCACCTTATGTAAAGGTGGGGAAAGGAAGAGAATTAGCTGCAAGGCTTAAGCCGTCAATCTGTGAAGACTTCAGGCCAAGGTGTGAAGATTTAGTGCTGGATCTGAAGCTACTTGATGAGCACTCAGCTTCAAGCACTTCCTGGCACAGATAGCCCTGAGAACATGCGGATTGAACACATTTTCAGCCCTTTCCCTTCCCGTCTCTGTTCCTGTTTTGATGGTTTTGTGCAGGAGGAAAAACAAATAAAGTGAAGTTACAGCCTTTCCTGCTCCACCCCTGCTGCCCTCTGCTTTTCTTTTCCCACACCTTACTATAACCTGCACACACTCAGATCTGTGCCCTTATCCAAGTTTGAAAGGAGTCTAGCTTTATTCCCTATTTAGGATGCTTAGTGGTGACGTGTGAACTCCTGGGTATAAGCCTTTCTGAATGACTACAGAGAGGTTTTGTTTGTTAGGACCTATGATTAGGCATACAGTTTGCAACCATAGAAGAAGATGGGTTAGTGAGTGACGTCAACTTCCCTTTCACCTTCCTGAGCTGCTCTACTGCAGCTCTTTTTTACCTTCTGGGAGAGAAATTGGAAGCCATGTAGGCATCTTCAGCAAGAAACCACCTCTTTTTGATTAAAATTAGAGTTGGAAGTCCTAAAATATCTAGTACAATTCTTCATCTTACAGAGGAGGAATTTGAAATTGATAAAATATTAACTTATTAATCAAGTAAGAACCAGAACACAGGTCCTCTGGCCTCCCAATAACCAGCTACCTTTTGGGAAGCTACATTAGGTATTTGAAGGCTCTGGGGCCCCTGAAGCCCTTGGAACATGAGGGTGGACATCAGTTCTTTCTCTTCTGATTAGAGGACTGAGAATATTACTTAGTGCCACCACTCAGAAGAGAGGAAAAGAGTCACCTGAGAAACTCAAGTTCACCCAGAGGGAGTCGTGTGGGGCACTGGTTTAAACTAAAGTCTGTGAAATGCTGGATCAGTCAATGACCATAAGTCACTGCTGAAGATCTGTGAAGACTTGGGCTTCCCAAGCAACAAGGACAGGAGGCGGATGATAACAAGTAGACACCCCATTCAATACGGGTACGCAGAGTCTAGCATCCTTCCCAACGTGAGGCAATCGCCGTTCCTTTCCACAAAGCTGTTTCAGACATGACCGGCAAGTCTGCAAATTAGCATAGGGACGGCCAAAGAACGTCAGTTGTATCTTCCCGTTGGCTCCGCCCACGGTGTTGGTGTTGCCGACCTGGGCGCGGGGAGCCGGGTAAGGGCAGGCCTGCTCTCTAGGTAATGTGCCCCCGTTGCCCCGCCTTTCGCAAGTCATTTAGCCAATGAGAGGTCGATGCGCGGCCACCAAAGGAAGCTTTCTCTTTGCCCGAGTCTCCGAGAGGTTAGCCAATCAATGGGAATTTGCCAGTTGCTAAAATACTTTTGAGTTAGGCTCCGCCCATGTTTAGGATTTTAGCCAATGAAATCTGTGCTTCGGGCTGTTGCCGCGAAACCAGCGAGATTAGTTCCACCGCCTGAATGTTTCGGCGCCTGCGCAGATTGGGGAACGTGCGGGAAGACAGCGGGGCTGCCGCCATTTTGCGGGAACAAGAGCAGCTACGGCTGCGGTGCTGCCTTTACTGCGGAGACTGTGGACACAGCCATACTTCGCGTCACCTTACACGCCCAAAGGAACGGAGAGAACCGGGAGCCCCCTGCGGGGACCCGGAACTGGTGAGAAATCCCAAAACCCCCGTCCACAGCGACGTCACTTCTGCGTGACGTTGCCGCGCGGCGCCTCCCCCTGACGTCACGGGCAGAAAATGGCGTCAGGAGCAGGAACGGGCAAACTTTTTGTTAAAACATCTTTTGTTTACAATTTGATCTGGAAGTGTTCACTACCTAAATGTAGCTCACTGACATGATTTTAACGCTCGCCATCCGCGTGACTTTGTCCTTTACAGATAAAGATGCCATGTCGAGGTTCCCACAGCCCCGAGGCTTTAGGGATGTTCTCATTGAGGAGGGAGCATGGACCCTCCGCGGTCTGAGAGAACACCTAGGATTGGCGTCAGGACTTAGTGCCACCACTCACATGAGAGGAATAGGGATTTCCGTCTCAGTTTTCAGTTTATGGAGATTCATGTACATTATGTTGATCTCTGTGAACTCTTCTCACTTTTCTTTTTTGACCACATATTCCGTGTTAATAGAGTGTATAGTGAGGCCACAATTTAGGTTTTAGCATTGGGACCCCGGCCCTCGCACAGATGGTGCCAAACTGTCACTTATGGGACCATATTATTTTTTTTAACAATTTATGCATACAAGAACTGGGGTACAGGACAGAGGGGTGTGGGGGGGGGAGTGTGAGGACTCACCAGAGACATCGAGTGGGGAACAGAACGGGCAGATTGACTGAAACACACTGCTGAGGGGAGCAGCAGGCGAGACAGGAGAGATCTGCTGTGCCACGTGGGTTGCTCTCTGGCCTGGGATCGAACTGGTGCTGCAGTGGCTGCGGATAGCTTCATAGTGCTGAGACTTAATCCAGTGCGGCACCAGGGATGCCCCCAGGACCATATTTTTAAAGGCTTATTACACAAAATGGGAAAGGCAGCCCTACAAAAAATGTTTTTGTTTTATGGTTCCTCTTCTTAATTTAGCTATTGTTGTGCCCACTGCGTTGACCAGACCCAGAAAATGGTGCTACCATCACCCCTGGATTCTAGGGCTTAGTGAATTTTGCCTGAAGTAGTGGTTCTTTGCTCTTTTGCTCCCTCAGCAGTGGAGCTTGAGTGCTGACTTGGGTGTTGACTGCTAGGACATGGTCCAGGCACTGCCATGATTATGAGTCCCTAGTGCAGTTTTTGGAGCAAGGATGGAAGACAGCACGATGGTGTTTTAATGGATAAGATTGATTGGAATCTAACCCTAAGTTAGGACAGTAAAAAAGTTTTGACAACTACCAATTTAAAATGCATCTTGTTTGGGACTTTACTGCTTTTTAGAACATCTAGAAAATACCACTAAATCCAGTGAGATTTCCTGTTTCCAAATGTGATGGGGTTGTACATACCTGTTAAACACATTTCGTTCATTTGTTCCTTAGTCTGAATGAGAACTTTACTCCGAAGGTGATGGTTCCTTTCTCCACTTAGGTAAAAGTTTTTTGCATTTGTTGTTATACCTACCCTGTACTAGCAGTAGCACAGTAATTCTTGAACCAGAAACGTTCCATTTGAAGACAAAAAGGCAGATTGTCAAAAAATAAAAAAGGAGGGGCCTCCCGGGTGGCGCCGCGGTTGAGCACTGGGTTGCGAAGCTGCCCGCAGCCTCTGCAGCGCTGGTTCGATCCCCAGCTGCTCCCCGGCCACAGGAGGAGGGTCCCGCATGGCGCGCAGACCTCTCCTGCCGCCTGCTGCTGCCCTCAGCAGTGTACTTTGGTCCTTCTGCCTGCTCTGCGCCCCACTCTGGCTCTGGTGAATTCTCTCACCCTTCCGTGCTTCTGACTGTACCCAGTGCTTGTATAAATAAATAAATAAATAATAAATATTTTTTAAAAAATTAAAAAGGAACTTTCTGACTCTTGGAAAATGTATATAGACTTGGTAGCCAGAGTGACTGAGAGAAACAGGGTTTGAGGATCAAAAACTATTTTTAGGATTATTTTCTACAATACGTCAGGCAGTATAATTGCAGTTAGCCTGATTTCTAATATTTTGAAGCCTGTAGTACATACATCTCACATCTGAAAGCCACACAGTAAGGTGTGTCTAATAGGACTGATTCTTGGATAAGCCTATCAGAACATTAATTCTCTAGGTGAGTTTATATTTAACAGTAGACAATTTGGTGTGCTATGTCCTTTTTAAAATGAACTTTAAGTGAAGCACATGAGCAGGGAGAGAGGTAATCTGAAATAACAAATACATTAGAATCAGAAGACTAAGATCAGGAGTCTACATCATTGGCGCTCTGTGACTTTGGGCATTTCACAAATCCTCAATTTTTGCATTTGTTCAATTTGTCCAACATATGCCTATGTTAATCTGATTGCAAAATAAGTGTAAATATTGTTATAAGAGATTGGTCACTGGGTTTAAGACATACCTATTTGATTTTCAGTTGATTTCCATTTTAAGCCTTAAATTCAACTTCCAAGTAATTTTTACTGTTTTCTTTTTCCAAGAATTTTATATCTATAACATGATTAGGGCAGTACTTGGCAACATTAGGTACTATAAATAGCACTGGTATTACTTTTATTATACTACCGAAGTAGCTTGTGGATCTGCAGGCAACCAGGACAGTATCACTGGGTGATGCATCAGCTGCTTAAAAGAGGACAAAGTCTGTGTCTCCCTGGTGGCTCAGGCATTAAAGTTAAGCTATTACAAGCCACTGTGGCTGTCAAGCTATCACCAGCCACTGTGGCATGAGTTCCATCCCCAACCAGGGAGCTAACCCACATGGTTCATCGGACCTCTCCTGTCTTACCCACTGCTCCCCTCAGCAGTGTATTTCAGTAGATCTGCCTGTTCTGCTCCCTACTTTGTCTCTGGTGAATCCTCTCTCCTCCAGCACCTCTGGCCTGTACCCCAGTTCTTGTATGCATAGATAAATAAAAAAATTAATTAGAAAGGACAAAGTTCTGTGGATACAAAAGTCTGATTATGATTAACCATCCACAGAAATTCCCAGATTAGTTTTTATTTTTACCCAGTTTTATTGAGCTGTAATTGACATAAAGCTGTATATATTAAAGTGTTCAATTTGATGGGTTTTGATTTGTATAAACACCCATGAAGCCATCACTTCCTTAAGTTTCCTGTGCCCTTTTGTAATCCTTTCTTAGTGGTTCCTTCCAACTTGCTCTTGTCCCTAGGCAGCCACAAACCTGCTTTATGTCACTACTGGTTAGTTTGCATTTTCTAGAATTCTGTATAAATGGAATCATACAGTATGTATTCTCTTTTGGAGGGTAGGGAACAGTTTGTGTTTTCTCACTCAGCATTATTATTTTGAGAATAATCTATGTTGTATATAAAGATAATGTTAGGGGGAAAGGATGTCCTGAGCAAACTCCATACAGGCTTTGTGGACTCCACCCCCACGCCATCAAGACCCTGGGAACTACAAATCCCATGATCCCCAAAGGGAAGGTTGCGAGTACCTGAGGGCGGAGTTAAGCAGCTATGTTCTCTGAGTATTTAACTGGCCATTTGAGGGGTGGGGGGTGTCGCTCTCTGCACTTGCTGGGTCATTGGGATTCCAGGTCAGCGGAACGTAAGACTCATTTATGAACTTATCTCCCTCTTTTTCCTTCCTGAGTTATTGATTTCCCCATTTCCCCTTCCCTTGTAAATAAACCTTTTGTCAACCTTTTGTGTGTGTCTGCAGTTTAGCATTAATAAGTCCCCTTTAAGTGGCTGGTGAGGACCCACAGTCAAGCAACCCATTTTATAAAGGGGTTGCACTATAACAGTAATTTCAGATTAATAATTTTTTAAAGGTTTATTTATTTATGCATACAAGAACTGGGGTACAGGCCAGAAGGGTGTGGGGTTGGTGGTGAGAGGAATCACCAGAGACATCGAGTGGGGAACAGAACAGGCAGATCTACTGAAATACACTGCTGAGAGGAGCAGCAGGCAAGACAGGAGAGATCTGCTGTGCCATGTGGGTAGTTCCCTGGCTGGGGATCAAACTCATGCTGCAGAGGCTGCAGATAGCTTCACAGTGCTGTGCTTAACCCCTTGCGCCACCAGAGAGGCCCCAGATTAATAATTTTAAAATAATTTATGCAATTGATGTTGTTTGGTATCTTCTGTTTTTCTTATATGATAGACCTGTTCTGAAAAGAATGGGAAAGATCATTGCTAGATATGAGAACTTGGGGACAGAAGTCTTGTCCTTCCTGCCTAACAAAACGACTTTTAGAGAGGGATTGATTAAACCAGTCTTAACCTTTCAGAGTTACCTAAACTGTAGTTGGTGATATTTGAAAGATGCTTAATTATTGGTGTTTGGGTTGGGGGGCGTTGGGGAGGATCTTAGGGCAAATTTGTATTCTGGTGTTGCTCTGTCTTGCTCTTGATTTTTAGTCATATCTTTACCTTTTTATTTAGAGCATTGCCTGTTTCTGTTCAGAAGTTTTTTGTTTTTGTTTTTTTTTTAAAAGATTTATTTATTTATTTATTTATTATTTATTTGAGCACTGGGTACAGTCAGAAGCACGGGAGGGTGAGAGAATTCACCAGAGCCAGAGCGGGGAGCAGAGCAGGCAGAAGGACCGAAGTACACTGCTGAGGGGAGCAGCGGGTGGCAGGAGAGGTCTGCGTGCCATGTGGGACCCTCCTTCAGTGGCCGGGGAACAGCCGGGGATCGAACCGGCGCTGCAGAGGCCGCGGGCAGCTTCACAACCCAGTGCTCAAATGCTGCGCCACCGGGGAGGCCCCAGAAGTTTTTTTTTTTCTAAGATTTATTTATACATACAAGACCTGGGGTCCAGGCCAGAGGTGTGGGGGGAGAGGGGGTCAAGAGGATTCACCAGAGACAGAGCGGGGAACAGAACAGGCACACTGACTGAAATACACTGCTGAAGGGAGCAGCAGGTGAGACAGGAGAGGTCTGCTGCGCCATGTGGGTAGCTCCGTGGCTGGGAATCGAACTTGTGCTGCAGAGGCTGCAGATCGCTTCATAGGTTGTGTCTTTACCCCTGCGCCACCAGAGAGGCCCTATTCAGAAGTTCAAACAGTAGACTGATATTGTACTTATGTTCATTGTAGAGAGAATAGTAATTTTGAGTACCAACATTCTCTTTTCACAGGATAAGATCTGTTTTGTATTTTGCCTTTTTGTATTTCTTGACCTTTTCTAAACTACAAGGCAGAGCCAGTTCAGATGTATAAAGTACAAAAAAATAAATCTAGGGCCTCCCTGGTGGCCTACGGGGTAAGTCTCAGTGCTATTACTGCTATAGCCTAAGTTCAGTCCCCACCCAGGGAGCTGACCCACATGGCGCAGCAGACCTCTCCTGTCTCAACTGCTGCTCCCCTCAGCAGTGTATTTCAGTAAATCTGGCTGTTCTGCTCCCCACTCTGTCTCGGTGAATCCTCTCATTCCCCACACCTCTGGCCTACACCCCAGTTCTGTGCAAAAAATAAATAAATCTAGGTTAAGCAATGACTAGTAAGGTCCCTTTGGAGTTCAAGAACCAGAATTACTTATCCTGAAATCTGTTTCCTGGAGAGGGCAAGGGATGTGGGATGTTTGAAGGAAGGAAAAAATATAAATGAGGTTCTTAGGTCTCTATGTCTTCTCCTCAGATCTGCTACGATGGCATCTGATGACTTTGATATAGTTATTGAAGCCATGCTGGAGGCTCCTTATAAAAAAGAAGAGGTAATATTACCTTATACAGAAATTAGTAAGAAAAAACAGTGGTGGATCACCAGTTTCAACATTTTGTGAATCCTCTTTTCTTGTTTGTTAATTGGGTACAGTAGGTGTTCATAAAAGGCATAGTCTTCTAGTGAGCTGTGCTGGAGACTCATGTTCAGGGGTCATGCTTTTAGAGATGGCTCACAAAACCAGGGGTGGGACTAAATGGGCACATAATGTGGTGAGAACAAGTGCTTTGTTCATAACTCTCAGTGACAGAAAAGGTAGTCAGGTTACCTCAGACCTATTTCTAATGTCTCATTTTCCTGGAAAATAGATGTCAGTGGAATGTATTTAGGGTTGCTGAAGTTTTGACATCAAATTCTATCATTCTGTATAATTTTGTATAGTTTCCTCCCTTCCTCTTTCTTATTCTCTTTGTTAGGAAATCCAGGTACTCACAATCTGGCTAGATAATTGAGAGTTTTGATTTCTTGAGCTTTCTTCCTTGTCTACTTTTGTTCTTTCTTTAACCAATGGAGTCTGTACCTTGTGACATTTTCTTGGTGAACCCCTCAGGATGAGCAGCAAAGCAAAGAGGTTAAAAAGGATGGCTCTCGCAACCCCACTGACAGCACCAGCAACAGTGGGACCAGTGGGAGCAGCAGCGCTAGCGGGGAGGCAAACAAGTAAGTGGGGTTCAAAGAAACACGTTGTCTTCTTGGGCAAGGGAAGCACCTTTGTCCTGGAGAACCTCCCAAAACAGAGAGGTGGTTGCTCATAAGACTGCTGGCTTTTGGTACTGGCTTCACTGAATCATGGGAGTCGTGGTCATGTAGTTTAATGATCTTCTGGTCCCTGCTTTCCAGTGTAGATTTGTAGATCAGTCCTAGTATTGATAGATTTCATTTGAATAAAATAGCAAGAGGACCCCTGATAAGGAAAACACCAGCTTTTGCTTGGCTTTGGGGGCAGAGGGATGGTTGATAGCCACTTCAAATGCCTGACAGCCTTCAGGGCTGTGTATTAGTAGGTGTTGTTCAGTTGCTGTGAACTACCCTGCAGACATCTTCTGGGCTTTGACCTTTCACTCCTTTCTGTTTCACCCCACCCTTACCTTAATAGAGGTAAGGGTGGGGTGAGAGAGATGTTGAAGCCTCAGCAATAAAAATTTGCACTGTCTTTCACAGGAAGAAGAGGAGGAGTCGAAGCCATAGTAAAAGCAGAGACAGAAAGTGCAGGTCAGTAATTCTGGGGGTTGGGGAGTTTTGAGAACATAATAAATGGACGGATACTAGGGGACGGTGTACATTAAAGAAGAGGTTTGTTGTTTTTTGACAGCCTTATTGTCATTCTCTATAGCCGTAGTCGAGATCGGGATCGGCATAGATGGAGAAACAGTCGGAGTCGAAGTAGAGATCGGCAGCGTCATCACCATAGCTGGGATCATAGGCATAGTAGTGAGTCCCGAAGTCGGGACCGACGTCGGGAGGATCGTTTGCGCCACAGGAGTCCACCACTTGCCACTGGGTACTACCTTTTGCTAATAAGATCACCACTTTTGTGTTATAATCCGAGATAAATGTGTATAGTATCCATGGGTGAGGGTGCTTATGACCCTTTGGAGATCCAGTTACTGGAGGGTGGTATGAAGAATTCACATGTGAGGTAAGGTGCTGGAATGTGTTTTTTTTTTTTTTAAGATTTATTTTTATTTATTTGTGCATACAAGAACTGGAGTGTAGGCCAGTGGTGCAGGGAGAGGGTGTGTGTGAGAGGATTCGGCAGAGACAGAGTAGGGAGCAGAACAGGCAGATCTACTGAAATATGCTAGTGAGGAGAGCAGCAGGCAAGTCAGGAGAGGTCTGCTGCGCCATGTGGATAGCTCCCTGGCTGGGGATCGAACTCATACTGCAGTGGCTGACGATATCTTGATAGTACTGAGACTTTAACTCCTGCGCCACCAGGGAGACCCTTGGTTTTGTTTTGTTTTTTTAATGATGGAAGACCCAGCATTGGACCAATGTGAGTAGTTGGGTGACATGATTTTCATTTTTGTTGCTTTCTCTTCCATAGGCGTCGATATGGACACAGTAAGAGTCCTCACTTCAGAGAGAAGAGCCCTGTCAGGTGAGTTGATAATCAACTCTTTTTCTAGGGGTTTGAAGTTTGAATAAAAAGGTGTTGGAGGACCTCCCTGGTGGCTTAGGGGTTAAGCCTCAGTGCTATCACCTCACCTCTATGGTCTGAGTTCAGTCCCCAGCCAGGGAGCTGACCCACGTGATGCAGCAGACCTCTACTGTCTCACCCACTGCTCCCCTCAGCAGTGTATGTCAGTGGCTCTGCCTGTTCTGTTCCCCACTCTGTCTCTGGTGAATCCTCTCACCCCTGCACTTCTGGCCTATACCCCCGTTCTTGTATGCATACATAAGTAAAATAAATAAATAAATCTTTTTTAAAAAAGGGTATTGGAGCCAGACCTCAAGAATGTGTGGTACTTGAAGGTAGGGGTGGCTGAACAGTGGTGACCAGCTATTGGGAAGGGAGGTTTCAACAAATTTAACTCACTTTTAGGGAGCCAGCTGATAATCTGAGTCCTGAGGAGCGTGATGCTCGCACTGTATTCTGTATGCAGTTAGCTGCCCGTATTCGACCTCGAGACCTGGAGGACTTTTTCTCTGCTGTTGGCAAGGTAGCTTTCCCCCTTCTAGCACCTTCCCCGCACCCCTTCCTCCCCAGTGCTCTTCTGAGTAACTTACCTTCTGTCCATGTCCCTTCTCTTTTATACCCAACTCAGAGTTTTTTTGTTTTGCCTTGGTTAGGTTCGTGATGTGCGTATTATCTCAGATCGGAACTCACGTCGCTCTAAGGGTATCGCCTATGTGGAATTCTGTGAAATCCAGTCTGTGCCGCTGGCAATCGGGCTGACTGGGCAGCGGCTGCTGGGCGTGCCGATCGTTGTACAGGCCTCCCAGGTGAGCAGGTTGAAAAAGTGCCATGAGAAAACCGGATTGAAGATAGGAGGTATGGGACATGACCCATCATCATTTCTTCTTTCCCCAGGCTGAGAAAAACCGACTGGCAGCCATGGCCAACAACCTGCAGAAGGGCAGCGGTGGCCCAATGCGCCTCTATGTGGGCTCCCTGCACTTCAATATCACCGAGGACATGCTCCGGGGCATCTTTGAGCCCTTTGGCAAAGTGAGTTGGAAGTGAGGGACAGCTCTGAAAGGAACTGGAAAAGGTTGGAAGAGTGAGTCTGTCTGACCTGGATTGACCCATTGCTTTGCATCATAACAGGCTTATGGAGCCTAACTTCCCTGCTGTGGAAATTAGGCTCCATCTCTCTTACATTCTCAGTAGACAACTGGGTGAGGCACAGTTAAATCATGGGATTCAGATTAAGTTAGATTAGTCAGAAAGTGTTTTGTCCTTTTATTTTATTTTTTTAAAGATTTATTTAAAGATTTATTTATTTATTTGTACAAGCACTGGGTACAGTCAGAAGCGCGGGAGGGTGAGAGAATTCACCAGAGCCAGAGTGGGGAGCAGAGCAGGCAGAAGGACCGAAGTACACTGCTGAGGGGAGCAGCGGGCGGCAGGAGAGGTCTGCGCGCCATGTGGGACCCTCCTCTGATGGCCGGGGAGCAGCCGGGAATCAAACCGGCGCTGCAGAGGCTGCGGCCAGCTTCGCAACCCAGCGCTCAACCGCTGCGCCACTGGGGAGGCCCTGTTTTGTCCTTTTAAAACGAAGATTCGGGGCCTCCCCTGGTGGTGCAGCGGTTGAGCTCTGGGCTGCGAGGCTGCCCGCAGCCTCTACAGCGCCGGTTCGTTCCCCAGCCTCCCAGCCTCCGGCGAGGGTCCCACAAAAAAAAAAAAAAAAAAAGATTCAAAGATGAGGTAATTGGTTAGTCAGAAAGTTAGAGATGTTTAGAATAGTCTGGGTAGGAATGATTAAAAGTGTGGGTTTGGCAAAAGACCATTAGTGATTTCTCTCTATTCCACAGATTGATAATATTGTTCTGATGAAGGACTCAGATACAGGACGCTCTAAAGGTTATGGTTTCATTACGGTGAGTCTCTAGTCTAACTTTTTCATTTGAGTTTGAGTTTGTCCATTTGTCTGATTTTGCAGCTTAGCTTCATTCTCCTCCTTTAGGCCTGGGTGCCTGAAGCTTGGGCTAGCCTTGTGCCCCTTGGGTGCATTGCTTGAGATCTCAGCTTTAGTCCTAAATGCTTAGTGGCCCTGGTATAGGGGTATCCAGGAATTCAGCCAGCTTCCCTGGTGCTGCAACTTGCTCTTTGGGTAATAGTAATGGTGCCAGACGCAGCTGAAAGGCTGGGCACATGAGGGAGGTTAGGAATAGACTTTTATAGATTTGTTTTATAGAATTGGTTTATTTTCATGATAGAGGTGGGAATAGGAAGTTATACTTCCTGGCACTATCCCATTAGAAGCATTTTATCCCTTGAGAAGTATCTTTATATTTAAATTCCACTGTAGGAGAGTAGTTAGGCTCCCTAATAGTGGGCAGGTCTCACCTTTTCCTGACACTTCAACAAAATTTTTTCCAACTCCCATAACTGGTTCTTCCAGCCCCTTGTGACTCCAGCCTGAGGAATGGCTGCCAGCCACAATGTCTGATAGAAGCTGATATGCGCTGGGCTCAATCCAGGCAGCATACACCCCCACAGTTGCCTGCAGGGCAGAGGGGAGGTAGGTAGGTTGTGTTCTACCATGGGAATTGCTCACCTCAGAAGTATCCAAGGGCAAGCCACCTACACCATTTGCCTAGGAACTGTCAGTAGCACTTGCCAGGCCCTTAGGGCAGGTAATAACAGAGTAAACAAAGCCAGCTGTGTTATTCCTGGTGGCAAGTACCTTCTCTAGCTCCTTGTGTGACTCAGATGCGGAAAGGCTTCTGTGGGACCATTTTACACTGTGTTGCTGCCTTTTAGGTCAATACCATTGACACTTAAAACAGTCAACAGGGAATCCTCTTTATGCCAGGCTGTTGCTGGTATGCATAAGAGGCACTGGAGAACAGAGGCCCCCTGGTGAGCAGGTCCCTGAGTCAGCAGGACTGTTGTGTGTGGGCCTTGAGGTAGTACAGGCCTGCTCTCAGCCCTGGAGTATGTTCCTAAGGCTGAGCTCTGGAGTTCTATCCAGATTGCTACTTCTTTTTTTTTTTTTTTTTTTGGTAATGTTTTTATTTATTTATTTATACAAGCACTGGGTACAGTCAGAAGCGTGGGAGGGGGAGAGAATTCACCAGAGTCAGAGCGGAGAGCAGAACAGGCAGAATGACGAAGTACACTCCTGAGGGGAGCAGCGGGCGGCAGGAGAGGTCTGTGCACCATGTGGGACCCTCGCCAGGGGCTGGGGATCGAACCGGCGCTACAGAGGCTGTGGGCAGCTTCGCAACCCAGCGCTCAACCGCTGCGTCACCGGAGAGGCCCCAAATTGCTACTTCTTGACTAAGAAGTGAAACTTCCTAAAAGCTGAAATGAAGCCCAGGAACCTTGGTTCTCAGTCTGTCTTACGTCTATTTTCCTATGCTTGTTTTTGAAATAGTCTGTCAGACTAGGTTTCCTACAGGATAATACACCTTTTGCATTATAAAGTTGTCTTTTTTTTAAAGATTTATTTATTTATGCATACAAGAACTGGGGTATAGGACAGAGGTGCAGGGGGTGAGAGGACCCACCAGAGACAGAGTGGGCAACAGAACAGGCAGTCTGACTGAAATACATTGTTGAGGGGAGCAGTGGGCAAGACAGGAGAGGTCTGCTGCGCCATGTGGGTAGCTCCCTGGCTGGCCGGAGATTGAACTCATGCTGCAGATAGCTTCACAGTGCTGTGCTTAACCCCTTGCACCACCAGGGAGGCCCCAGCATTATAAAGTTCTTAATGGAGCTGGAAGATTAAAAAGTGATTGCTGTTGAGTCAGCTGGCAAAGGTCCTTTTCAGAGCCCCATGGCAAAGGGAGTGAGATCTTAAGTCACATTCCCTGGGAAAGAAGTTTGTGCTGCAGTGAGCATGAGCGTGCAGTTTTCGTGCAATCACAGAACTAACATGTTAGTGGGACTTGGAGAGCTTCTGTGACCAGGAGGTGACTGATACAACCTGGATTTCTTTCAGTTCTCTGACTCCGAATGTGCCCGGCGTGCTCTGGAACAATTGAATGGCTTTGAGCTTGCTGGTCGACCTATGAGGGTTGGCCAAGTAACTGAGCGACCGGATGGTGGCACAGACATCACTTTCCCTGATGGGGACCAGGAGCTGGATCTGGGATCAGCTAGTGGACGTTTACAGCTCATGGCCAAATTGGCAGAAGGTAGAGTTCTCTGCAGAGTGAAGAGGAGTTGGATTTTACATCAAGGGTTAGGGCTTAGCCCCACCTTTTCTTTCCTTTTCAGGCTCTGGAATCCAGCTGCCAACCACAGCTGCTGCTGCTGCTGCTGCCGCTGCCGCCACCACCCAAGCTGCTGCCTTGCAACTGAATGGAGCCATTCCTTTGGGGGCCCTGAACCCAGCGGCTCTAACTGGTAGACTTGGACTTGGGATAGGGAGGAAAGGGATGGGACCTAGAAAGAAGGAGTCCTATGAGTCACTGATTCACTGTCCCTCTCTTTGTTCCAGCATTAAGTCCAGCCCTGAACCTTGCCTCCCAGGCAATTGCTTCCCAGTGCTTCCAGCTTTCCAGCCTCTTCACCCCCCAGACCATGTGAGTCTCAGGGCCTAGTTTGTTTTTGTCCTTGGTTTTCTTTCCACTGGCTTTCTGCTTACATCTTCTCCTTGCCACAGGTAAATCAGTGGCACAGAACACTGCCTCCCTGTGCCTCTGGGTCCTGCCATTCCCCTCTCCAAATCTACCCTTCCACGGCTCCCTCTCAATTCTGTGGACCAAGCCATCTTGAGGGCATGGACATTGACTCTGGGCGAATTGGGGCCACCCTTAGACACCAAGAAGAGCTCCTTCCCCTGGCCCCACTGGGAATGGACTCTGCTGAGCAAAGCCGCTAATCAAAGAGCACAGAATCTCCACGTACATTGGATACTTGTCTCTCCGTATCTTGTCTTCTGGATTTATTGCCCTTCCCAGCCACCTCTTAGTGACGCCTCCATTCCTCCCCCACTGGGAAAGCCATAGGGCATTAACTGAAGGAGCTAACCTCTACTTTTCCTCTCCCTTTACCCTGCAATCTGTCAAGGAAAAACCCTTAAGGCTTCTGGTCCAAGAAGACTTTGGATTTTGGGGGGTGAACCTTAAAGGTGCTGACTTGTTGCTGTGAAAGGACGCTGGAAGATCACATGGACATTTTGAAGCCTGCCTTAGAACTCAGCTTGGGGCCAGAACTACTACTGTGAACTCAGCATCTGGCTGGGAGGTGTGGGCGCTATCCTTTCAGGAACTTTAGATGTTTAGGGGCATTCAAGAGTTTAGTGAAAATGGGATACCTTTCCAAAATCTTCCATCTTCCTTTCTATAATTGTCCTTCCTTTGGCCAAGGGGGAGGATGGAGGTGAGGCTGCTACTCTCCACCACTTCCCATGTGCCTCTACCTTGGGCTTAACCCCCACTGTAAAAGCTGCTCCCGTCCCCTACATGGGTACATGTGACTCCTCCTCACTGGATTTTATACCCTGTGTCTCTGTACATAAATATGTATACATATATATATATAAACTTTGTATAAAAGGCCAGCCCTGCTGTTGTGGTAGCTGCTGCCCACATCTGTGTCGTCTCAGTGTTTCTGTCTGATGTTAACTTCTTATAAGCCGAAAACATGAATGGTTCTGGGGAGATAAAATGTAACGCCGTTGCGTTTTCTTCCCTTTATTTTCATTTTGTTTTATCTAAACTATGGAAAGAAAAATGAACTAAAGGCTCACAACTGGGCAGAGTACCCCAGTTGTGTCTACATTATTCCCTGGACCCCATGCTGTCCTCCGTGTGTCTTCACTTTAACTAGCTCCAAAACTTTGTGCCCATTGGACACACTTCCAAGACCTGTGTGTGCCTCAGGACAGACCTTGTCTTTCCACTAGATGGCAGTGTGACAGTAGCACATTCTGCACCTTCCTCTAGGGGTGTTTCATAAGCTTGAGTTTAGAAACAGAAAAGTCTTCCTAAGCTCACCCTTCTTTCCATTGGCCTCTTCTTTCCATTGGCTTCAGCCGTCTTTGTTGCAGCAATCCAAGTCCAGTATCTGAGGACGTTTGGGCATTATACATCAGGTCTCCCCTGGCTTGGCGGCTACTGTTGTTCCTGAGTGAGTTTTCTCAACTCCTGCTTTCATGTGGCTCTGCCTGGGACCCGCACAGGCCTGGAACTGTGAATTCCAGGTTGCTGAGTATTCCAGGAATGGTGCTGCTGAAAGGGAGGCACACCTGCCTGCTTTGTAGGTCTTCTAATAAGGGTTCGCCAGAGGGACCTGCGGGAGGAAAAGGCCTAAGGTTCAGGGGCAGGACTCGGTGGGGCTCCCATTCTTCACTCATCTCTATGGCAACAGTGTTAAGACTTTATTGTCATGCTAAAAATACGGATAATTGCTATTAGGTTTAATTTGTCAGCTCTCAGACTTATAAGCAGCGTGAAGGTTTATTGGTGATGTAGTCTCCGGTTAATTTTCATACTGAAACATTAAGTACTTGAAGCCTGCATGTGGTATAAAAGGCCACTGGGACCCGGTCTAGTTCTTGACTCTTCTAGACTCCGGCAGTTTTACCTGCTGCTGCTGTTCTCATTGCTCCCACCCCCATCCTTTCCTTATCCTAGTTTGCATTTTGTACCTGGGGGAAGGGAAGAAGGATGCATTATTTTTAGGTAGGAGAAGCTGGCTATGGCCCAGGCCCCCTATATTATTGATTAGGCCGCTAATGCATCCTGAGAAGTGCAGTGCGGGCCATTTTTTGCTAGTCATCCTGGGGCAATGGACCAGGCCGCCTCGTGGCTGTCTTGAACTTCAGACTATAAATACTCACAGGCCTTGCCCTGTGCCCTCCCCAGAGGGGCTCCATATCTTCTTGCTTTCCTTAAGTTCCCAACCCTAGTTCCTTTGGCCTTCCTGCACTTTGGTTCCTCCCACCTCAATTCTTGCTCCCGGTTCTTCATTCCTCACGCAGCATTCTGTTGAGAGAAAAAATGGTGGAGGTGAGGAATATTGAAGACAACTTCTACTCTAGGAAACTGATCCCCATTGGAGGTTAAATAACCCATGATCATATTGTTAGCAAATTTGGGATTCCAACCCAGGAAGTTTGGCTTCTTGGCACCACTGTGGAAGCTATGGACTTGAAATTATGGGAAAGAATCACTTTTTCCACCTTTATACCCTTTATTTTCATTTTACCCTAAAATTTTTCTACATCCATGTCTGCTTACCTTTTTTTCTCTTTATGCCCCTTTGTCTGTTGGTCAAATTCCTGTCTTTGAAGATAAGCTTTCCTACTTGGGAGCTGGCTCGACTTAACAGATCTTAGCCTTTACTTACAGTTCTTGTAAACTCTATTGCTAGATGGTTATAGCCTGATAAGTCCATCCATAGATGGGTCTTTTTCATTATTGCTTTACTTTGTATGTATTAAATATCTGTTGAATTCATTCCCATTCTGTTAAAGTTAGAGCCATGCTCTCCAAAGACACTCTTCCAGCCTGGTTTCCCCAACAGCCTCATCCATTCTTCATTCCTCTAAGAGGGGAGGCAATTTTACACTTCTTGGTGTTACCATGGTACCCTTTGATGCTTTCTGCCTAAATCGCTACTTGCCATCCACTGGAGACTGATGTTTCCATGCCAACCAGGTGAAGTCAGTAGTTGTGAGCTGAATGCAGGAAAGGAACTCTGGTCTGAGAAGTTGTGTCTGATTCTTCTGGCTTCAAGGATCCCTTCTCCCTCTCAACTTTGCACTCTGTGTGCAGAACTGATTTGCTCTCAAAGTGTGCTGATTGAGAGAGCTCTGCAAGTGTGAGGTGAAGTAGCCCAACAAACTTAGGTACCGAGACAAGGAAAGAGTTGATCAAAGATCACTTTTTAAAGTTGGATGAGTCCTGTTTGCTGTCCCAGATGATCTGCTCTCAAGAGCCCTTAAGAAATTGGCTGAAGTTACTGGAGTGCCATTAAGCAGTTATTTTTGAGGGCAATGGGTAGATGGATGAGGTGCTTGATGACTGGAAAAGAGCCAGTCAGTGCTGGATTGCAGAAAAGGGAAACCATGACCTTAGAAATCAGAGACCTGTCAAATTTTTGCCAGTGTACCAGAAGGGATGGGACCTTCAATCAACTTTGAAGCATCTTGAACCCTGCCTGCTTAGAATGAGTGGTACTGAGAATCAGCCTTCTCCTCCCAACACCTGAGCCCAACCAAGCCAGGTGATCATCCTGCAGCAGAGGGGCCACGTTCTGGAACAAAACTGCACAATTCAGATCCCTCTTTCATCACCAAATAGCTGAGTAAGCTTGGACGTTGCCTCATTTCTCTAACTCAGACTCCTCATCTGTAAATAGGAAATGATAACAGTAGTGTACCTATCAGGCATGTGATGAGACTCAAATGTATTGATACAGGTAGAGGCTTAGAACTTGTCATTGCCACTGCCATCATTCCCATTCCTCTGGATGCCTACACACTTGGCTTTCTACTTGACCTCATTCTCCTATGCCACTTCAGAGAATGCTCAAGATTCCTGGGGAGATCTGAGGGTGGAGCAGTGGTAATAGTAAAACTTTTATTAATTTTTCTGGACTAAAGTCTCAGGTTTGCAAGGTCCTGGGTCACACACTACCAGCCTAGCCCACTGGTCCAATTTCCTCAGGCCTGAAATTCTGTATAACAATCAGATTACAACCAGATAGCTTTGAAAAATCAAAGTGAGCCCCCCAGGTGTCTTCACGATACCTAGGGCCCTTTGCTTTGTCTGACTAGGGAAAATCCCAGAACGTTCTCTTAATAGCCCTTTGCTTAGCATCCCTCCTAACCTCCCCACAAGCATTCCTATAGCACCTGCCTTTGTTGGTCTCCAGAGCCTACCCTACTCAGACAGTTTTCTTTCTAATAAGTATTTTGAATCAGCACAGGTCCTCTGCCTAAAGAAAAGTTACAATTTGAACATGAGATGGGAAAATTGTGCAGTATAATACTATTGCTGAGGCTTCCGTTGTGAATCTTCCCGACACAACAAATCCAATAATGGGTTCCCTGTGAATCCTGTGGAAAGCATGTTGGACCTTGTGAACCACAACTTCAATTTGTATCTCCAGAGTGGCACTGTGCTTAAGAGATTAGCAAGCTGGGCCTCCCTGGTGTCTCAAGAAGTTAAGTCTCAGCACTATGAAGCTGTCCGCAGCCACTACAACATGAGTTTGATCCCCAGCCAGGGAACTAACCCACATGGCACAGCAGACCTCTCCTGTCTGGACCCGCTGCTCCCCTCAGCAGTGTATTTCAGTTAGTCTGCCTGTTCTGCTCCCCATTCTGTATCTGGTAAATTCTCTCTCTCTCTCTCTCTCTCTCTCACACACACACACACACACACAGACACAGACACACACACACACACACACACACACACACACACACACACGGTCCCTCTGGCCTGCACCCCAGCTCTTGTATACATCAATAACATAAATCTTGGGCCTCCCTGGTGGCGCAAGGGGTTAAGCACAGCACTGGGAAGCTGGCCGCAGCCTTTGCAGCATAAGTTTGATCCCTGGCCAGCCAGGGAGCAACTCACATGGTGCAGCAGACCTCTCCTGTCTCGCCCACTGCTCCCCTCAGCAGTGTATTTCAGTCAGTCTGCCTGTTCTGTTCCCCACTTGTTCTCTGGTGAATCCTTTCACCACCTGCACCTCTGGCCTGTACCCCAGCTCTTGTATGCATAAATAAATAAATCTTTAAAAAAAAAAAGAGAATGAAGGCGGTGAAAAGAGACCTTGAACTTATCCATCAGAGAGCCGAGATGATAAAGGTGATAGAAGTAGGATGCCTTTGCCTTGACTAGTTTTCGGATCTCTTGAATGTGTCATCCACCTCAATTTTCATGATTTGTGTATAAAAAGTTTCTTTGGGGCCTCCCTGGTGGCACGAGGGGTTAGGATGCAACCTATGAAGCTGTCCGCAGCCACTGCAGCACGAGTTCAATCCCTGGCCAGGGTGCTGCCCACATGGTACAGCAGACCTCTCCTGACTCGCCTGCTGCTCCCCTCAGCAGTGTGTTTCAGTCAGTCTGCCTGTTCTGCTCCCCACTCTGTCTCTGGTGAATCTTCTCACCCCCACACCTCTGGCCTGTACCCCAGTTCTTGTGTACATAAATAAATGAATCTTTAAAAGTTTCTTTGCCTCATCATGCAGCACATTGCCCACCATTTTCCCTGATCATTTGCTCATGTGGTTTCACCACAGGGAGTTTTTTTTCCTTCTTTTACCTACATCTTCAAGGACCACCTCCTAAAATATGTCTTCCACATTTTGTTTCTTTTTATCAGAATTCTTAGAGCACATGATGCTTTTCGAAAGTCAGAATGTGGCATAGTTTGCTGCTGTTTTGGCCACAGTAGTGCTATTGCCAGTTAAGTTGTTCACTGCTTGAGGGCAGGGTTAGTGTCTTTTTTGTGTTTGTTTTCTCATAGGGCCTAACGCGATTACTGACATGCTGCAGTACTTACGGGGAACAACAAACATTTGTGGGTGGAAGATAAAAATGTCTAGGAAAAATTCACTTCGACTGATGTGGATTGGAACTCTTAGATTAATTAAGAAATGCATTTAAGAGTGGACTTTTTGGAAGTGAGGGTTTAACCCGGAAGTGTCCTTCCGTGACTGGCAGCCTTTCAGAAGAGGAGGGGCCCCTGCTTCAGACTGGAGAAGCCGGTTAGGTGCAGTAGGGCCTAAAGGTCCAACTGTAAGCAGAGGCCCAGAGCACAGTATCCTTATAACCTGCTTTCTGGCCTCACCTCTGACCCCTCAGGGGAGAGCACACACAGTCCATGCCCTCAGTCCATGAGGAGATCTTGTGGGCCAGAGGGGTGAGGCCAGTAAGGGGTGGGCAGAGGCTAGGCTGGTAAAGGAGCACAGACCCCAAGACGAAATTGCCGCCATTAAGGGGGCATGCTCCTGAGCCCTTCGCTGATCTCTCACACCTGCCCAGATCAGCAGCTGGGCCCTACTTAGCCTTTACCAAAGGGGGCGGAGAAGAATGGCCTGACGCTCAGAGGAGACCCCATCTCTTCCCAAGTCTGCTGGGAGCGTGGCTTCAGCTTCTGTCTGTTCTGAGCTCTTCCCTGTAGGCGTCTGGAGGGAACACACAGATGGGTCGGGCTGATGGGACTAAGTGAGTTGGTGGGGGACTGTGGGGGGAGGGAAGGCGGTTTGTGGTTTGTGTGACTCCCCTCAAGGGAAAGGTCCTACCATCCTCCTCAATATGTACACTTTCAGCTTCTGCCACATGAAAGACACTGGCTTTCTTGTTCTTCGTCCTCCCACCACATTTGACCTGAGATGATACTCTGCCTCTAGAAAAACCCTCCTCCCTTGACAGCAGCCACAACACGCTCAGTCCCACTTCTTCCACTCCCTCTTTGGTGGCTGCGTCTCTGCCTTCTTCATCTGCCTATTCCTAGGACTCTCTGGTTCTCTCCTTTCTTTGGAACACCACGGCTTTGTTCTCTATTACCGAGTTTCTACACAGTTAATATATGATTCAAGGTAGTAAATTTACTACTAGTAAAAGGGCAAAGGATGAAAAGTAAACCTCGCACACCTGTCCTCCACACACTTGGTTCCTTCCCAGCGACAATCAGTACTACCCCGGCTTGTAATAATTTGTTGGCTCACAGAGCCCTGTGGAAACCTAATGAAATCTATCCTCAGGCCTGCACAAACACATCAGACGGTGCCATTTCACAGGAATTATAGACCCTTTAGGGCTGTGTATGGTTTGAGAGTAAGGATCCCAGCATGTATTGCATCCTTTCCCTTGGGGTCTCCCTTAATATAATTTGTGGGTCCCTGTGCAAAATGAAAATGCAGGACTCCTGTTCAAAGAATTTCAAAAGAGCAGCAGCAGAGCAGTGAACTAAGTGTGCGGCCCTGTGTGACTGCACAGGTCACACACCCATTAAGCTGGCCCTGCATCTCAGCCTTTCCTCTGCCTCAGATACTGCCATCTCTATGGTGCTTATGTACATATCTGTGTCTCTTGCCCAACGTGTTCTGAATTCCAGACCCAACTGTCCAGGTTGCTGCTAAAGCTCTCCATATGGATTTTTATAGCATCTCAAACTTTGTCTCCAAAAAGGAACCATTAATTCCACCTATGTCCCCTAAACATACCAGCTTCCCACAACCTGAGACTGGTTCCTCTCTTTATACCCAGCCATTCAGTTGCCAAGTCTCATTGACTCTGACTCTCATACTCATGCTTTATCTTCTTTCTCACTGACACCTGCCTCAGGAGGGCCTTCGTTACCCTTTGTAAATATGACTGACTAGTGACATAGCTCCTCAGGCCTTGCCTCTGCTGCTCCGATCCATGTAAAAAAATTTTTTTAAAGATTTATTTCTGCATACAAGAACTGGGGTACAGGCCAGAGGTGCGGGGGGTGAGAGGATTCACCAGAGATAGAGTGGGGAGCAGAACAAGCAGGCAGACTGAAATACACTGCTGAGGGGAGCAGCAGGCGAGTCAGGAGAGGTCTGCTGCACCATGTGGGTAGCTCACCGGCCAGCCAGGGATTGAGCTCATGGTGCAGAGGCTGCGGCCAGCTTCACAGTGCTGTGCTTAACACCTTGCACTGCGAGGGAGGCCCCTCTGGTCCATGTACACCTCTTCCAGCTTCTACTTCCCAAAGGATCGTGTCACTGCCACCCTTGAAGACCTTCAGTGACTCTCATTGCCTACAGAGTTGGACAAAAAATCCTTTGCCTGGCATTTAGGTCCTTTGCAGTGAGGCACCAAATCTTTTTCATGCTCGTCTCTTACCCCTCCTCTTCATGTCCCTGAGGTTTCAACCCAACTGTGGAGCCATCTGGTCCCTTAATGGGTCCAGAGTGTTTTCCTGCATTTTAAGATTTGAACTGCCTCTCTTCATGGTCCCCAGAGTTTAGAGCTTGCTTACTCCACTGGAACCATGTAATTTCTCTGATCCTCTTACCACAGTCACTGCTCATTGCCTTGTCCGTTGAGGCCCCTGCATTTCCTTGATTGTCTCTCTCCCTGCCCCCATCCTTACTGAAAGGGGAACCTCAGGTGAAAGTTGGATAAAATCACCAAGTATCTTGCAGACTTGAGTAGAATCCCAGCTCTGTTGCTTGTTGACCTCAGGTTAGTTACTTAAACCCTGTTTCTTCCACAGTAAAAGAGGTAGTAACACCTTATGTAGTCATTAAAGAATTAACAGATTAGGTGAATAAAGTGCAAAGGATAGTGTTGTAATTCATGTTATCTCATAACCACCCTTGCTGGGCTGTTCTGCCTTGGCTCCTTCCCAGTTGGATTCAGGAGACATCTCATTCTCTTGACATCAAATTCTGGGAACCTGTGTGGGGTGGAGACCTGTCAGGTACTCAGGTAGCTATTGTATGTCTAGGGGTGAGGGGAACTGCTGCCTCTGCTCCTTTGTTCAGACTCATGGCTCAGGCAGCAGCAGACGTGGGCGTCCCCAGGGGAGGCACTGACAGCTTCAGTTCTCACACAGGCTTTGCAGGTGACAGCTGGGGTGCAGGGGCCCTGCCAGAGAAGGTACAGGCTGATTCCATCATGCCCCAGCTGATGGGCCTCCCTGGTGGGATGGGGGTCCCACTTCCAACCCCCCTCCAGCCTTCTTGCAGAATAAAGTGGGGTAAGTTGATGAGGGCTTGGTATCTGGGGATTTGGTCCTAGTGTAAGTTACTAAATTATTTCTACCGACAGTAGGTCCCTGCGCCTCTCCAGGCCTATTTCCTCATCAGCAAAAGAGCAAGTTGAACCCTTGACAAAGAGATAAATTGAACCCAATTCCCTGTAAGGCAGCTTAGCATGGAGCTCACCAGGACTAGGTTCTCAGACACCCTAGAGGTTTGGTTCCCTGCTCCTCTAGGCCTGATTTTCTGTTTGTAACATGCGTTACATCCATTCCTTTTGTGGGACTGAGAGAACAGAGTACAAGCGAGCAAGTGCAGTAGAAAAAATCCTTTATTGAAAAGGTAAGGGTGGCCCCCTTGCGGTGCCTCCTGGGCCAGGCCTAAGGGGGGTTACCACCAGCTCAGCTCTTCACGCTGGCATCTGAAGGCAGAAAGACTGTCCACGCCTTACCTTTAAATAACCTTAAAGGGGAAGTGCAGTGGTAGAACGGCAAGTCACAGAATCAATTCTCAAAAACAGCACTTCCAGGCCCTTGACTTTAAGGACTTCTTAAAGGTAAAGTGGACAAATACAGCAGATAAGAGCGGGAATGTTTTGGGGACGTCTCTGGGACTGGATCTCCGTGTCTTTACCTTTGCGGCTCTCTTAAAGGTGAGGCTTATTTGCGCAGAGTACAAAGGTAGACAGCTGTAAAGGAGCCTACAAAGCAATTTTCCAGTTCCACCTTTTAAGATCTCTTTACAGAAGAGGTGGTCACGCGCAAATTAAAAAACAAAACACCTTGCAGAACTATTTTCCTTCCCGACCTGCCGCCCCCCACAGGTCTGCACGCCCACCTGAGGCGCTCCGGGGCGAGAGGTATTGCAAGAACGCGCAGTGGCAGGGGTGGGACCGCGGCCCCTCGGCAGGCACGCCGGGAGGGCAGCCTGGGAGTTTTTGGTTTTCTAGCCGGTCTTCACAAAGGAAGCCGGACAGGGCAGGGCGGGGCGGGGCGAAGGGGGGCGAACAGAGGGCGCCGTGACCATGGCGACCGCGGTGACCATGGCGACCGCAGCTCAGAGCACGGAAAGGTCGTGGCAGGACCTAGAGCGCTGCTTTAAGAACTTGGCATTGCGCGGCACTAGGTTGGCAAGGAAGCGCTTGGCCTTTTTGGTGAGGCTCTCTCGGCGCGCTGGCGGTGCAGGGCCCTCCGGACTGCCCGCCTCTGGCCGCTGGCCCCCCACGTGGCTCCGACCCCGCCGCAGCCGGATCTGGCGCACCGCGCCTTCGAAGAGCTCCCTCGTGTTGTGGTGCAGAGCAGCCGATGTCTCGATGTGTTTGCAGCTCAGTGTCCCTGCCAGATGGCGGCCCTCTGTAGGAAGGAACAGGCTCAGGCTTCTGGCCCCTGGCACTAGGCCCAAGGGATGAGCCTGGGGAGCTACCCAAGGTGGGAAGGAATTGGGGAAAGTGAATCTGGAGACTGAAAGAACCAGGCAGGGATCACTTGCAGGGCAGTGGTGGTATGGAGGGGAGGGAGAAAGGGGTCTTGGAGAAGAGGTGAGGGCAAGTGATGGGGTTCTGCAGCCCCCTAGGCAAGGGCATTGAGAGTCTACCCTTAGCCTCGTGCTAAATGAAATTGAGTTTGTGCAGCCCGGAAGGTTTGAAAAGGCTTTAGGGACAAGAGGTGACTTGGAAGGGAGAGTCCCAGAGATTGCAGGATGGATGAGGTTCCAAATACACACCCTCCAGTGAGACCTCCCTGGAGCGGGCCAGATCGCTCTTGTTTCCAACGATTATGACAGGCAGGTCATGGTGGGGTCGCCCAGCCCTGAGACGAAGTAGGGTCTCTGGAACTTTGGAGAAGCTCCTTCGGTCAGTGACTGAGAAGACGATGAGAAAGGCATCCCCGGTCTGAAGGCAGTGGTCCCGCAGCCACCCCCCTGCGTCCCCCTGCAGATGGGCAGAGTTGTAGCGTATCAGGGCAGGAGCGTGGGAGATCCTCCAGCAGCTCCACATCAGGAATGAAGACCCAGAGACATGAGGGAGAAAGTTCCTGCTTAGGACAGCAGAGCTATTTAATGGTGCAATCCTCACACCCAGAGTGTGTGTGTGGAGGAGGGAGAAGTTGGTAAATCAAGCCCCACAAGGGAGAATTGGGGGCACAGGATCCTGGACTAGGTTAACCCATCCTACTTTCTTATGCTTAAACTTTTAATTTAAAGTGAATGCTAAATATGTTATCAGTACAATTTCTGCATTGGCAAGAGGCAGCTCTCTGCCTGCCTGTGACTGTGAAGGTGAATCTCTTTTTCTTTGTCCTTTTCCTAATAAACGTGTCCTTTTAAAATGTAAAAAAAAAAAAAAAAGTGAATGCTATTCAAGTGTATGTAATCTAGCCTCTCACTGCTGCATAGTAACCATTAATACTCAAATATTCAGGAATCCTCTTCTCCCTCCCCACTTTCCCTGATATTCCAGAGCCCCGAGCTCTTATCCTGTCAGATCAGACTCTTCCAGGTTGAACAACGCATGGGGTCAATTTCAGGGTGTTCAGCGGGGCTTGCATCTGCAAGGTTTGTCAAACTCAGATCCTAACTTTCCTCTAGGTGAGAAGATCCTGGAAAGACAGCGATCTCAAAGCCCTGGCATGCACACTGGTACCAGCCTTGCTCTCTCAGGTGATACTGTGACAGGTACATACTGGAGCCAGGGCCTGCAGTCCCACCAGATTTTGCCCTTCTCCAGCCCTCCCAGGTTCCATTACCTGCTTACAGCCCCATCTGAGTTCTTACCTGTTCCCAGATGTCATAAACAACTAGGGTAACTTCCTCCTTATCCACCATGATGCGTCTCTCATAGGAATCCTCTGTTGGGAAATCCAGACAGAGAACAGAGCCCATTAGAGCTCCCAAACATTTGTGAGACCTGGTAGCCAGGTCTCAGAGACCACCCCCCAACCTCTTTAGGGAGCACAGCCACAGAAGGCATTGGAGAAACTTCTCTTAGGTTCTGGCTTCCAGGGGCTGCTCATGCCTTGAGATCTTGCATACCTAACTAGGCCTCCAGGGTACTCAATCCCTTCAGGGCTCCCCAATACCTGGGTTCTCTGGCTCATGAGCACTGTCTCCCTGGAGACCGCCGAAAGTGCCTGCTAGGGTGCTCTTGCCCACGCCGCTCTCCCCCACCAGCATGACCTTGAAAATGGCATCCTTTTGGGTGGGGGCTGCCTCTCCTGAGCCCAAGGAGTCAGAAGAGCCAGAGGACGAGGCTTGAGGTGGCCAGTCAAGTTCATCTACAGCCTGGCCCCGCAGCAGTTGGTGTTTGTAGGGGACAGGCATACTGCCTCTTCTTCTGGGGGCCCCTGGGGCAGGGGATGGTCCACCCAGGTCCAACCCTGCCAACAGTTTCTCTGGCTTCTTTAGCAGTGTGGCATCTGTTTCTGGGGGGAAGGGCAAACAAAGAAAAGGAAGCTATGAGTGGGAAATGCCCAGCCATCTGCACAGGGCTCAGTCCTGTCTGCTCTGTCTTTAGAGGCCCAGGCAGGCTCAGTTGATGACCACGACCCAGAAGTAGCTGAGAATCTTTGGTCCGACCTCTTACACTGAACCGTCTCTGAGTTCATGGGGCTGCAAGGAGCTGACCCAACAGCTTGTCCAATGTGATTCCAACCACAGCCTGTTCAAAACATTCTCCGTGCAGGGGAGGTACCTATACGCAGGCTTGCACACCCACTCGCACTTCACACTGACACACAGGCACACCCCCAGACTAGGCCTCTGGCCCCAGGGCTGCTCCTCCTTCCACCAAGAGCTGCTGTCTCTACTGCTTCCTGCACCAGCAATGCCCACACTGGGGAGGGGCACAGGGCACATGAACCCAAACCTGCCTCCTCCTGGGGGGTGGATACTGGGAGAGTCAAAAACTTTGCAAGGAGCCCGTTTCCAGGGAAGCCTTTGCATTTTGAGATTGTGTGTTGGGTGTCCGTGGGTGTGTGTGTAAGAGGGGCTGCCTTTCCCGTGGCCCTGTAAGTGAGCATCCCCCAGTGCAGATTGTGTGTGAGAACCCTCCTGCATCCCTGGCTGTGCCTGCGAGTCCGAGGAAATATTATATTCATGGCGAGGTAGAGGGTGGGAGGGAGAGAGAGAGAGGGAGAGAGCAGGAGCGAGGCAAGAGGGAGAGTGACAATGCATGGGTCAGGGGAACTGGAGGAGGAAGACAGACACAACAAAGGGGGATGGAGAGAGGCTGGAAATAGCCCAGGATCAATACTTGGCTGGCAGCCAAGGCCTCCAGGAGCCAGAGAAACCCTTACAACAGGTCCCCAGGGTAGCCCCCGGTGCTTCCCAGGCTTGTGGGCTGCCCCTTCCCGGTCTCCCTTCCCTCCAGCCCGTCCCAGCCTCTGGGGAATGTGGCTGACCTAGGGGCCAGGCACCGGGGAAGCGAAGCCTGAAGCCCGGGAGTGATGGGGGAGGGGACAGTAGGCAGCTCTCCTCTCCTCCCCCCACCCCGCCCAGCCCAAGGTGTGCGGTTGAGTGGGGGCTCCACTTCCTAAGTTGCTCTTCTCTTGCTGTTTGGGTTCAAGCTCCTTTAATCCCTAGTTCTGACCTCTCCACCAAAGCTTCAGCTCCCACCCTCAAGGATTCAGGCAGGACCTGCTCAGCTCAGCCTTACCTGGTGTGGGAGTCCCTGGGGGGGAAGCCTGGTGGCTGCCGGAGGGACAGAGTGCTGTGGTTTCTGTGTCCGTGTCCATGTCAGTGTCTGTGTGCATCGATGTGCGTGTGCAGTCTGCTTGCAGCACCCGTTCCCTCACTCAGCAGCACTGTCAGCTTTTCCCTTTAAATACCACCCCCCCACATATTCCCCCCCCCAAGACACCTGGGGAAATTGCCCCGCCCCCTGATGAGGTCACACATGCTAATGAGCAGTGATGTCAGCGGGATTCCCTCCTTTCTGCCCACCCCCTTTCTTTGTGTCGCTTCCCTCTGGGAGCACACACATTGCGGAGTCTGGTTAAGACGTGGAAAGAACAAAGTCAGAGGGGTTCGGAGAAGTGGGGTGAGGGGTCAGTGGGTGAAAGAACTGAGGATGACGTGGGTGTGGAGGGGACGGAGGCAGGGTCTTTGTCCAGGAGCCAGGACTACGTGTCATTTGTGTCTGTATTCCCAGCCCCCAGCCCAGTGTCCAGGCCAGGGTGGGTGCTCAGTGGCTAAATGGAGAAGCTAAAGGCAGAAAGCTTAGAGCTGATCCGTAAGACAAAGAAATAAGCCAAAAGATATGCAGGTACAGGAAAAGGCCACCCTGCCACCAAGCTTTCCTGCCAAGCTCTCCTTCCCACACCACCCCTTCTGGGATGAGACCCACAAACGACCCATTTCCCAGCCTGGCTCCTAGGCGGATGAGGGCTTTGAGGAGAGAGATGGCCGCTTTGTTTGGTAGCTTCATTTTGTCGCTAGGTTGAGGTGGATGCAAACTGTGCGGGGATTTCCTCCCATTCTCTCTCCCTTCCTATCTGTGTTAGGGAGAGGTGGGGAACGAGACAGCCCTCTACAAGTTCTAATCCCAAGTGGGGGGTAGGGATGCTAGTGCCCTCTGGGCAGCCACCGGGCCTGGGCTCCATGAGGCAGACACACAGTGCTGTCTCTACCTCTTTGTGGAAGGCCGGGATGGAGAGTCTCCTTTATAGCCCAGTTCCCCTTTCCTTCAGCCTCTTGTTTTTCTTCCTGATACCTGCTGGCACCCAAACACACATACTAACTTCCTGGTTTCCCCTCCACCCGCCACCCCCATTTTTGCTAGGTGTGTGCTAAGCACCTTCTTGCATTACCTCCTTTCATCCTCATGACCCTAAGGTTCAGAGTGGTAGGTGGGTGGCCTTCCTCCAAATCAATCATGCATGCAGCTGGAAAATGGACACCAAGAGGTCCCACCCAGATCTTTCCAGTGTCAAGGATTGTTTTTCATCTCTATACTGTGATCTCTTCCTTTTCTTGAATATTCCAACTGTCTCCTATTACTTAGAACAATTAATTGGCAATCTTCAGTGGACTTTTCCTTTTTTTTTTTTTTGAGTAGGAGAACTGGGGTACAGGCCAGAGGTGCGGGGGTGAGAGGATTCACCAGAGACAGAGTAGGGAGCAGAATTCAGTGGAGTTTTTTCATCGAAGAGGCAAATAGCAATCTTAGGACTTAGGTGCAGTGACACCTCAGTTACCTAGAGGTCAGCTACAAGGTAACATTGTGAGGTCCCGAGAAAACAGAAAGGACTCCTGAACAGCTAGAATAGTCACACCCTCTACTCCAATATTGGATACTCTCCCCTCTTTAACCCCAGCCTGCTTACCTTTACTTTAGTCACAATTTTAATTGTGTGCTCCTGGACACAGATTAGAAGCCCATTTAGAGCAGCAAGTGAACAGGTAGCCAGGGAAGCAATACCACAAAACTTTCAAAGCAATCCTAAGTGTTTAAAAAGTGGTCTAAGGTCACTTGGCATAAAGACGAACAGCTCCCCTAACACTTAGAACTGTTCTAAAAATGTTGCTGCAGAGAAGTCACTAGACTAGAATGAGTCACTGCCTCATTCTATGAATGACCCTCAGCTATCCAGGACAATTTGTATTAAATTGCAGATGTGCTGAAGATGAGTGTAATGTTTTCAAATAATTACCTTTCAAGATGAATTTTCAAGTTTTAAATTACACTTTGAAGGGTAAGCTTTATGTATCTGGAAAACTCACTTAGGTGGTTGGATTCATTTCAGATAGTATGAATCAGTGGCTGCAGACCCCAGCAAGGATTCTTGACCTTGATTTCTGTTGGCCCTCAATCTAGGAGCAGACTGGGTTTTACCTTGAACTGCCATCCCCCTCAACCCACAAATAAGAGGGGGCTGGAAAAGTTATCCCATTGTGCACCCGGTTGGCTCCCTCCCTGTGGAAGGGGAAGTTCTGCAGAATTGTGGCATAAGGGTGAGAGTTTGCAACTGAGCTTACCCAGGTTTAAATCTGCCTCAGAGACTGATCTAGTCCTGAACCTCTTCTGAAGCCGCTACTGAACTTGTTAATTGGGGTTATGATACCCACAGCATACCTTCTTCTAAGGGTTAGCTCTGTGTGATAAAAGTGCTGGCATTTAGCAGTTTGCCTGAGGATTTAATGCTCCCAGAGCCTTGGGCTATACGGCTGGGGAACTTCTCTCCTCCCAATAGAGCCTGGAGTTGGCTTAGGCCCAAGATCTGCTCCTTGAGGACTGAAGTTTGGAATCTGCTGTTATCTCAGATTCTTAGCCTGATTTATCTTCACCTTTTTGTTCTGAGAGCAACACCTTCCCCAGCACCTCACATCATAATGAGGGCCCAATACCCTGATATTGGGCCCCATGGGTAGTAGTGTTTCTCCTGACAGGATTTGAAGTTTCCTCATTTCTACTCTTGGGGTCTATGGTGAAAATTAACTTGTGTGACTTGCTCTCACTGTTCCACCTGCAACTAGGTATGACTTAGTTTCCTTATACTGCCTGACAGGCCAACCCCCTCCCCCAACCCAGCAGACAGAAATGGTATCACTGCTTATACCTCCTAAAGTGCACCTAGAAACGTCTCCCAGGCCCATTAGCCTATATGCAGAGGCCTTCCTAGTGAAATCTTCCCTCAGGTCCTCCCTCTAGTCTTCCACAATGAGAACATTCTTTCACCTTAAAACTTTGTCTACTTTCAAGTTGCAGACACACACACACACAGCGGGCCCCCTACCCCCTGACCCTGAGGGAAAAGATCTGGCACAGGACAAGAATAAAGATATGAAGCTGAAGGTTTTGAGATGGCTATGGTGGAAGAAAGAAGCTAGGGACAGGGCAAAGAACAGGAGATGGAGATGTTGGGAGGGAATTGGCAGTCCCTGCCCCTGCTTCACAGGTGAGACCCAGGAATTATTTGCATTTGGGAAGGAAGCCCCAAAGGAAGACCAGTATGTAAGGACCAGGATCTCTGGAGCCTCTTCCCCAAACTCTGGTGAGGGTCTGGAGAGAAAGGTTGGGTCTATCCTGAGCCAAGATGTTAGAGTCCCAGAAATGCACCACTTTCCTAGGCTCGTCCCTGGAGAGAGGAAACAAGCAATACTGGTATGAAGATGCTGACAGGGTGTAATCAACAGAATGCCTCCACCGGGGTAGTGGGGATACACTAGGCTAGGCAGAAAGGGTAAAAGCCCATCTGAGGTGGAACTTTTCTCCCTGGGGACTGGTTTTGCTAGGGACTGTCTTAACTTTGCTCTTGGGAATTCATGCACACCCCCAGAAGCACCTCCCATATCCTTAGTACTGGGTTTCCTTTCAAACTCTGGACAGCTTGCCACCTTATCAGAGGTTAGTTTCAACATTTTTGATATTCCCTTCTTTGTCACTCTCCCCAGCTCTGGTCACTGCTTGTGCTCCTAGCCCTGTTTTCTCAGAGCCCATACCCCTACCCTTCACATCTGCTAAGCTTGCTTCTCCTGTGGACTCTCACTTGACCTAGAATTCATGACTCTATTCCAACTACTGACAACATTCATTAGAATCTAGCTTGAGCCTTCTTCACAGAAGGTCTCTTGGATTTGACTAAGGTGATACCACTATCTTTACACCCTGAACGTTTATGATTTTTCTCTTGCTTCATCTTTGCCTACTTTAAGGCATCCTGGCTGAGAGCCCATCTGTCTGCCTAGGACAGACTGTAAGTGCTTGGTAGAGGGCAGGAGTCACAGGCCCTGTGTTCCATCAGGGACAGTCTGCTCCTGTGATCTGTGCTCTGAGAGTACTCCATAAATGGGAACCTTCCCGGCTGCAGGGCCCAGCTGGCTCACCAGATTCTGGCCTGGCAGTGAGTAAAAAGGCTTGGTGCCACCCCTGGTGTCAGTCACTGTAGAGTTGAGGCCTGGGCAGCGAGTGGAGGAGGAGAAGGTTTGTCCTTAGTGTTCCTAGAATTTACCTCCTCAGTGGTATAAAAATCAAGGAGGGTGGTTAGAAGATGACTAGGAAGAGGAGGCCGGGACGGAATGAAGGTTTCTCTAGGGAGGAGGAAAGTGAGGTGAGCATCCACTGAGCTGGGCAGAGAGGTAGAGAGGCAGAGCTCAGGCTCGATTCCTTTATTTTCAACCTTGACTTTCTAGGCAATGCCCGAGCTATCAGACAAAAGCATCTGTTGTGCTCTTTATACGAGCCAAACCCTTTATGAGGGATCATGATTGGCAAAACTTCAGATCCTGCCCAAATCCTCCCCTTGGGGGCTGAAGGTCTCTAGCCAATTGGGATTCTGGTACTTAAGGCCACTTTTGGGTGGGGGTTTGGCAAGGATGGAGTGTCCAGGCCTATGACACTTTGAGGATTTTACTTTTTAAAAATAGCTATCCAAATGGTGGTAGTGTGGAAGGAGGTGGAGAGACTGAGGTCTGTGTGTGTGAGCCCTCTCCCTAGCTTCACAGCAGCTACACAGGGTTGATGGGAGGCCCAACAATCCCCTCAGATGAGGGGCAGGGATGAAGTATGGAAGGGAAGCTGTGTTACCCTCTAAGGGGTTGTTGCATTACAACTAGAAAGCACCCAAGGGAGCCAGGTCCCCTCAGGCGAGCAGTGGCTCATCCTCTGCTTCGACCACCCAGACCCCTGGCTCAGCCAGTGGCACCAGCAGCACATCGTCCTCGTCTTCTGGGGGCAGAACTGTTGTGTGGGGACCAGGTGGGGTCCGAATTGGTCCCGGGGGCCGCAGGCTGGGCAGGAGGCGGCCTCGCAGGGCCTGCACCACTCCAGACAGCAGTGATGGCTCCAGAGGCACTGAAGGCAGAGGCACGGGGGCCTCAGGGACAGTTGGGAGGGCTGGAGATGCGCTGGCAGATGGGAGGGGAGCCTTGACAGGCAGTGGGGGTGCCTGTTCTCCATCTTGCCCACCCACTGCCCCACCCTCAAGGGCCGGACTAGTGCTACTATCTAGGCCCTCCTGGGGAGGGGAAGAAGGTGTGACATGGGATCTGCTCTCAGGGGTTCGGGCTTGGGGGCTGGTTCTGGGAAGCAGGCCCCAGCGGCGGAGACGGCGTACCAGGCGGCGTACAGAGCGGCCTCGTTGGCGGCGACGGGCACCCGAGGCACCCCCTGGAGTCATATCCTGGCGCAAGATCTGTAGCAGGGAACGCAGGTTGCCCAGGACTGAGTTCTGCAAGAGGAGGCAGATGTCAGAGTCAGAGGAGTAGGAGGGCCAGTGGCCTCAAAGAAGGGTACAATGGCAAGACCATAATGTGGGGCTGGAGGGGGACTCACGTCATTTGGGTTCTCTGTAGGGAAGTCCTCCACAGGTGGGATGGCGCCCTGGGCAATGAGCTGTCCATAGGAGGGCGGTGCCTGCTGCTGCACAATCTCAGCCTCCATTCGGGAGAGGGGGGCAAAGATGCTGGAAGGAATGAGAACTGTGCAGTCACAGGGGTCCTGGCCCGAGCACCTTGTCCTAGTCTGGGCAGGCCTCCTCCCGCCACACCCAGGCCAGGACACCTGGAGTGCTTCCACGGCTTTCCCCAGTCACTGCGGTCCCCTTTTTCCCTGAGGTTACTTTCAGGATCTAGGCCCGTTCTTCCTTCAGAGAAGAACCCCAGTGCCTGATCTGGGCAACCCCAAGAGCCAACTGTAATCTGGTCACCAGAATCCATGCCCAATGTGGGCACCCTGATGGTCCCCCATAGCTATATAGGCCCTGTCTCACCCCTCCCCCTGACCCCACTCGACAGCCCACCGCACTCCCACTAACCTGTACTCCTGGGTGCGAATGGCATAGAGTTTGCAGGTGCAGCCCAAGGCAATGACCAGCAGCAAGCCACACACCAGGCTGCCGATGACTGCTGCCGTAATGACCTTGCGGGGCAGGGCATAGGAGCAGTCCCACTCATCGCTGCCATCAGCGCAGTCTGGCTGCCCATCACACACCCACGTCTCATACACACACTTCTCATCCCGGCATCGGAAGTTGCCAGGCTGGCAGTGCCGGCAGCGTCGCTCATCTGCCCCATCGGCACAGAAGGTCTGGTAGTTGCAGCGGTCAGCAGGCAGGTAGCAGGCTGTGGCACCAGGAGTGCCGGCAGCCCCACAGGGGAAGTGTCCAGGTGGGCAGCCAGGACAGTTCTCCTCATCTGTGCCATCGGCACAGTCCCATGAGCCATCACAGCGCTGTGCCTCACTGTAGCAGCGCTCACCTAGGCCCTCACTGGCCCCCAGGCCAGCGCCTAAGCCACAGGGTTGATCCCAAGGCAAGCAGTAGCCCCGCACATGGTAGGTAGCATTGAAGCCTCGACCATTGCTCCAAGCAACTGTGTGATAGGCCACGATGGCCTGCCCAGACAATGTCTCCACGGTGACAGCTTTGCCATTGCTGAAGTGTGTGAGACTGCGTAGCAACCGAGGGGTTTCAGGAGGCCCAGGGCCATCATACACATGCACTGCATCTCCATAGCCCAGGTCCAGGGCTGTGAAGCGCACAGCCAGGCGTCGACCATCATGGGGGTCCAGTAGCCAAAGGCAGGACTGGGGGTGGGAGGCTGAGGCCATGTGTGAATATCCAGGGGACGAGAACACCCCATAGAAATCTTCTAAGGTGTGATTGCAAGACAGGATGGGGCCAGGAGCTGGGGTCAGGTCAGGGAAGGGGTCAGAGCTGCAGCCAGCCTCATCAGAACCATCACCACAGGCGTCCACCCCATCACAGCGCTGGGTCAAGGGCACACAGCGGTGGTTCAGGCACTGGAACTCTTCTTGCAGGCACATCAGCCAATCTGCAGAGGTATCATGGAGAAAGGCTGTGAGCAATGGAGTTGGCAGGATCCTCCCCTCCCTCTGGTTTGCACTGCTTGTTCTGGGGGCTCCATGGACATCCCTGTCCAGCTCACCTTGGTTGTAGGAAAGCAGGAAGCCCTGACCCATGGGTGCTCTGGCTCCAACATAGCTGTAGGTAATGGTGACGTTACCACCTGGCAGCTGCAGAGGGCTGGCAGGTGCCTCGCACAGGGAGATCAATGGCTGGAGAGGGGACCGTAGGATTAAACGCTCTGAGCCACAGGCCAGGTGTAGTTTTTGGAACCTAGAGGGGTTGAAAAGAGAGCAGGACATGATATTCTTAATCACTGCTAGCTACTTTCTCCCCAAGTGCTGTCAGATCCCTCTTCCCCAAGAACTACAAACATCTACTTATTCACAATCCAAAGAGCCAGAATGAAAATCAGTTAATCAGTTCCTTTGTAGACAATGGTGAGAGTCCTAACAAGAGGCAAGTGGCACCATGAGACTAAGATACAATCTAGGACCCCCTGGTAAAACTGACTTGTGTTCAGGGACTGGGTTAAGAACAGATTTATTTATGCATCCAAGAACTGGGGTACAGGCCAGAGGCATGGGAATGTGTGTGTATGAGAGGATTCACCAGAGACAGAGTGGGGAACAGAACAAGCAGATTGACTGAAACACACTGCTGAGGGGAGCAGCAGGCGAGTCAGGAGAGGTCTGCTTTGCCATGTGGGTAGCTCCCTGGCTGGGGATTGAACTCGTGCTGCAGTGGCTGCGAATAGCTTAATAGGTTGCGTCTTAACCCGTTGTGCCACCAGGGAGGCCCAAGAACAGCTTTATTGATCTCCAGTTGTTGCAGCACTGTCACTCAAATATAGTGTTCACAGTAACGAGCCATCACCACATGGTCAATTAACCAGAACTCACTCTTCTCTCCCAGTGCTCAGTGGTGAGACCTGAGATCACGTGGCATTCTGATTGCGCTGCCCCGACACTCTCTCCCTGTTTGCCCTCTCCCTCCACCCACCCTTTTCTGAATAAATTCACGGGAAGTAAACTGTGTGATACAAATAGGTACTTATTAGGGGCCTCAACCCACTATCAGAGGAACGTAGGGAGACTTGGAATGTTTTAAAGATCTGATCTGTGAGGCTAAGAAAGGTTCTAAGCTGATTAAGGAATAGCTCTGAGCTCCAGGCAAGAAAGTACAATGAGGGGCCTTCCTGGTGGCACAAGGGTTAAAGTGTCAGTGCTATCAAGCTATTACCAGCCACTGTGGCATGAGTTAGTTCCCAGGCCAGGAAGGTGACCCATATACGCTGTAGCAGCATCTCACCCACTCCTGTCTCGCCTGCTGCTCCCCTCAGCAGTGTATTTCAGTAGATGCGCCTGTTCTGCTCTCCACTCTGTCACTGGTGAATCCTCTCACTGACCCACCCCCACTACCCGGCCTCTGGCCTACACCCGTTCTTTTATGCATAAATAAAGAAAAATAAATCTTAAAAAATAAGTTTTTTTTAAATCTTAAAAAATAAAAAAATAAATTGGAAAAAAAAAAAAAGTAAGTTGGGCCTCCCTGGTGGCGCAAGGGGTTGAGACACAGCCTATGGGGCTATCCGTGGCCACTGAAGCACGAGTTTGATCCCCCACCAGGAAGCTACCCATGTGGCGCAGCAGACCTCTCCTGACTTGCCCGCTGCTCCTCTCAGCAGTGTATTTCAGTCAATCTGCCTGTTATGCTCCTCACTCTGTCCCTGGTGAATCCTCTCACCCCCACACCTCTGGCCTGTACCCCAGTTCTTGTATGCATGGATGAATAAATCTTAAAAAAAAAAAGATACAATGAACTTAAGAACTCCTCAGAGGAGTCATATTGGAGCACCAGGACAGTTTCTGGAGTGACCTTTGTCCTTCAAGGATGACAAGAGCCCCAGCTGAATGTCTGCCCAGCCCAGCTCCAATTCACTGTGTCTGTTCCAAAACCAACCAGGCTTTTAGGACAAACCAAGTCAAATCAACTTGTACTGTTCTCCCTACTGACAGGATTAGAAATTCCGAGAAGCGATGATCCCTGAAGGCATTCCCATGATGGTGGGGTTGAGGGTAGGGTAGAGGAATAGGGTCTTGCCTGCTACTCACCTGATCGTTACTGTCTGCTCCCTGCTGCCCAGGATGAGCCAGGTGCAGTTGGCAGGGGAGCTCCGGCTGTCCCGGCCTAGGGGCCTCTGTAAGGTGCCCTGCACTTCCAAGAGCACTGCTGGGGGGTCCTCACAGGCTGGAAAGAGAGGAATGTAGGGACACTGATGGAGTCCTTACGTCCCATCCCTCTCCAGGCTTGAGCCCTCCAAAGGCCTGGGAGCTTCATGAGTCACATATTCACCAAAACAAAACAATACAAAACAACTACCAGGTAAGGCCCACACTGGGTGTGTTTCCCATATGTAAAATAAAGGGAGGATGATCTCCACACTGAAACTGTAGCGGGTACCAGAGGAATTCAGGGAACAGAGTATCTGCCTCTTGGGTCCTCCCTCATTCCCAAGCCTGCAGGGTCCCCGGGGCACCCTCCACTCACCAGGATTTGGGAAAATGATCCGGTCTGGATGGGCTAGAGCGCCGCCTGGAGAGAGAGCAAGAAACGGCAGGAGAGGGAGTCCCCTTAGTTTCTCTCACCTGAAGAACTGAGGGAGGACGGGGAGCCATCTGGGGCTGCGGGTAGTTTCCAGGATGAGGTGCTGAGGTAGGGGGCGGCTGCGGGGAGCGCCCCCCAAGCAAGGCCCGCAGCACCGCCCGCGGGGGCGCACAAGGGGTCCCGGCAGGCGAGGACGGGGGCCGAGCAGGGCCTTCCGGGAGCGGGGCGGGCGGCCGGGAGCGGCGGCAGGGAGGGGGCTCGGCGGGCGCCGCGGGGCCAGGGCCGCGCAGCAGGGAAGGGGCCGGGGCGCCAGGGCCCGGGTCGGCCCCGACGGAGTGGTGGGGGGGACGCCGTCCTCGCGGTTTCTTACCCAGGAGGAGAAGGAGGAGGGCGGCCGGCAGCATCCTGAGGCGTCCGGGGGCGGAGGGAGAGGCGCGGCGCTTCTGCCGTCTATCCAGGGGGCCGCGGCGGCGCTCCGGGAGCCCCGGCCCCCGCGCGCCACCTCCCCGAGGGGGCTCCATGGCCCGCGCCCCGCGCCGCGCGCTCGGGATGCCAGGGCTGAGGGCCGGGAGGCGGCGGCGGCCCGGGGGCAGGGGCGGTGCCTCTCGCCAACTTCGGAGTTGTTTTCCCCGGCCGCCGCCGCCGCGCTGCCCCGAGACCGGCCGCGAAGCCCCCGCGCCGGCGAGAGGCCCGGCGGGGGGGCGCGCGCTCCCCAGGACCCGCCCGCGGCCCGCGAGCGCCCCCGGCCCAGGCCCCGCCGCCACCTGCCGGGGCTCGCGGCCACTTCCTCTTCGGGCCAAACTTCGCGGCTGTCAGCCCCGGGGCCGACCGCGGCGCCGCGCAGCTCCTCCGGCGCGCCCCGCCGGCCGATCGCGGCAGGGGACCGGGGCAGGGGACCGGCAGCTCGGCCCGGCACCCCAGCCCTCGCCCAGGCTGTACCCCGCCAGCCCCGAGCTCGGAGGAGGGAGGGGGCGGGTGGGGAGCCGGGTCCCACCCCTGCCAATCAACGCGCGGGCCCCGCCCACCTGCTCGCCGCAGCCCCTTTCCGGTCCCGCCGGGACTGGTCGGACCGGCCGCCGGCCCGGCGCTCCGCCCGCGCGTCGCAGGCCTTCGTCCTTTCGGTGAAACGCGCGGTCGGAGGACGGCTGGTTATCCCGTGATTGTCGCGCCTTCCCGGGGGGCCCTCGCGCGCTCAACACTTTTCTTGGCCCTGTGTCTGAGAGCCAGAAGCACTTTTTTGAGTGCGCCTCTATTACAGCCATTACGGCGCGGTGTGGTGACTATTTGTTTACTAGTCGTTCCCCCCCCCGCCCCGCCCCGCCCCGCCCTGCTCGGGAACCTGAAACTTCCTGTAGGTGGGGGCTCGGGCTGTTTACCTTTGTACCCGCCGGCCTCGTCTCTTGCTGAGACACTTATAAACGGTGAACAGACGAATAAAGGTGCTTGCTACTGGCTGGCTATGTGACCTTGAGAAAATGGGTTAACCTCTCTGGGCTTCTCAGTTTTCAAATGTAATAAGCGCAACTCCCTCTTGAGGTGGTTGTCAACATTGACGCAGATAATGCAAATTGAGCATGTAGGAAGTGCCCCATTCTTGGCAACAATCATTATTAGCCACAGAAGATATGTTTAATTTATATGAGCTTGGGGTTACTGATTTCCTGTGGCACTGATAGGTAATATTAGTAAACAACAGCAACAAATCCTCTTCGGGATTTGTTAAGCACAGATTTAAGCACGTTCCAAGTATTTGCTCTTTTAATCGTCACCATAATCCTGTGAGGTAGACACTATTGTTCGTTTTACAGATAAGAACACTCCGGCATAGAGAGGTTAAACATTTTACTCAAGATCATGGATCTAGTAAGTGCTGAAAGAAGGGTTTGAACTTAGGCCATCTGGTTCTGGACAGAGCATACATTTGTTTTTTGCCTTGTTTTATTAAAAAAAAAATGTGTTGTTGGGCCTCCCAGGTGGCGCAGCGGTTGAGCGCTGGGTTGCGAAGCTGCCCGCGGCCTCTGCGGCGCCGGTTCGATCCCCGGCTGCTCCCCGGCCACCGAAGGAGGGTCCCACATGGCGCGCAGACCTCTCCTGCCGCCCGCTGCTCCCCTCAGCAGTGTACTTCGGTCCTTCTGCCTGCTCTGCTCCCCGCTCTGGCTCTGGTGAATTCTCTCGCCCTCCCGGCTTCTGACTGTACCCAGTGCATGTATAAACCAAACAAACAAACAAATAGATAAATAAGACATGCCTCTAGAAAATTAAAAAAAAAAAAAAATGTGTTGTTGTTGGAAGTGACATAGGTTTAAAACAATATAGGGGGCTTCCCTGGTGGCTTAAGGGGTTAAGTCTCAGCACTATGAAGCTATCAGCAGCCACTGCCGCTCCAGTTCGATCCCTGGCCAGGGAGCTAACCACATGGCGCAGCAGACCTTTCCTGTCTCACCTGCTGCTCCTCTCAACAGTGTATTTCAGGATATCCTCCTGTTCTGCTCCCCACTCTGTCTCTGGTGAATCCTCTCACCCCCACAACTCTGGCCTACACCTTCTCTTGTATGCCTAAATAAATAAAATAAATCTTAAAAAATGAAACAATGTATAGGTTTCCTGTGTAGCACATGGTAAACATCTGTATACTACATTATATTGCCACCAAAAGTCTACTTTCTATCCACCAACATAAAATTTATCCAATCTGCCCACTTCCAGAGCTTATGATTAAGTCCTCTTCCCTCTACAAATGGTACAGAACTGCTTTCTGTTGATGAGCTTAAAGCAAAACCTGAAGTCATAGAGTTGACCGTAAAAAGACACTTCTTTCAGTTTGGCCTTAGTCCTGTGCCCTAACTCTCTCTTTGCTATCTCCTTGGAATTAATGAGGGATGAAACAGAGCTAGGTATGGGAGGAGGGTGTTAAGCAAAGGGAAACAAGACAAAGAGTTTGGGGAAATTAAAAATCTTTAAGGTCTAAGAGCTATTACGGAGGATTCAGTTTAAGTGTTGACTGTGTTATCCATGCTGGGTACTTCATGGTCACTTGGAACACTTAAGACTCACTTTAACTTTAATGAGTTTAGCTTTAAAGGTTTATTTACCATCTAGTTGGAAAAAGATCAGATGCAGAAATTTTAAAAGTCAAACAGCCATGGAGAGTGGGCCTGTGGAGGAGTGGGGAGTTTCGAAAGGAAGGAGAAAAGTGGTGAGATGGGAAGAGTAAGGAATGCTGTATAAACTCAAATTTGCAAGCAAAAGAAGTCAAGATCCATGCTGTTGGAACAATCATCACAGGGAAGAAATGGCACCAGGGTAGAGCAAACCTTCAGTCCATGAATATTTATGAGAGTGCCTTCCAACTACAAGGCACTGTGCTAGACACTGGGGCTTAATATATGAGTGAATTTAAGCCAAAAAAAAAGATGCGGAAAAAAATGAAAGAACACCTAGGTGTGAGTCTAAGCTTTAATTAGTTTAGTGAGTTTAAGTGACCAGTTCCTTATTATAAATCATATCCTAGACCATCCAGTACATATAGGAATGGGCCTGTGAGCATGGTCTTGGAAATTTTTGAGGAATTATGAAAAATAGTAGAAAATTGGGAGAAGTTTGGTTTTCACAATGATTATAGTCAACTTTTTATAGAGTACTCACCATAAGATGAGTACTCTATAAAAGGCAAACTCTTTTAAGTACTTCATGTATATTACCTCTTTTAATTCTCATCACACTTTTAGGAAATAGGTGTTATTTTTGTTCTCATTTTGTAATTGAGGAAACTGAGTCATAGATAGGTTAGATAAGTTGCTCAAGATCAAACTACTAGCATGTGCTGGAGTCAAGATGCTATGATCTCAATATTTATGCTTCCAACTTGTGCTGCATCAAACTTGTGCTGCATTGAACTAGTGCTGCAGTAGCTCTGGATAACTTCAGGGTGTTGATACTTAACCCCTCGTGCCATCAGGGAGACCCAGGAAGTGGAATCTTAAGGAGGCTTTGGTCATAAAGAAGGAGCCCTAAGAATGGGATGAGTGTCTTATAAAAGAGGCTCTAGGGCTTCCCCTCGTGGTGCAGTGGTTGAGCGCTGGGCTGCAAAGCTCCCCACAGCTTCTGAAGCGCCAGTTTGATCCCCAGCTGCCAGCGAGGGTCCCACGTGGTGGGCAGACCTCTCCTGCTGTGCCTGCTGCTCCCCTCAGCAGTGTATTTTGTCAGTCTGCCTGTTCTATTCCCACTCTGCCTCTGGTGAATTCTGTCACCCTTCCGCGCTTCTGACTGTACCCAGTGCTTGTATAAATAAATAAATAAATCTTTTTTTAAAAAATTTAAAAATATATAAATAAATAAAAGAGGCTCTAGAGAGATCCCTAACCCTTTCTGAGGACACAGTGGGAAGGTATCCTGGAAGCGGGCCCTCACCAGGAGGTGACCATGCCAGTGCCTTGATCTTGGGCTTTCAGTCTCTGGAACTTGGAGCAATAAATTTCTGTTTATTGTATTTTTTTAAAAAGAATTATTCCTTTATTATACGATTTTTATTTATTTTGCGCAGAAGAACTGGGGTGTAGGCCAGAGGTACAGAGGGTGAGAAGATTCACCAGTCTCAGAGTGGGGAGCATAACAGGCAAATCGAAATACAGTGCTGAGGGGAGCAGTGGGCAAGACAGAAAAGGTCTGCCTGGGATAGCACTGAGGCCATTGTGGTGGGCTGTCACAGTGGCAGTGCTAAGACTTAAGCCCTAGGCCACCAGGAAGGCCCTAAATTTCTGTTTAATAGTTGCCTAGTTTGTCACATTTGTTATAGCAGCCTGAACTGCTATATAACAGTGCTGTATAGTGCTACTATAACAAACACCTAAAAATGTGGAAGCAGCTTAAGAAGTAGGTAATGAGCAGTGGCTGGCAGAATTTGGAGGTGCATGTTAGAGAAAGCCTTCATGCTTATGAATGGACTTTTAAGGGCAATTCTTTTGAAGGTTCAGAAAAAGAGAGTTGTAGAAAGGGTCTCCGTCATCTTCGAGAATACCTAAGTGGTACTGAGCAGACTGCTGGAAGGAATATGGATGGTGGTTATTCTAATGAGGTCTCACATGGATATGAGGAATATGTTGGAAACTGGAAGAAATCTATTGTTTCTATAAAGTGCTTGGCTGAATTGTGTTTGTGTCCTAGTGTTTGTGTTTGTGTCTTAGTGGAAGGTAGAAGTTGTGAACGATGAAATTGGATATTTGGCTAAAGAAATGTCTAAGCAAAGGAAATTTCTTGCAGGAGCAATCTGGTCTATCTTGAATGCCTGTAATCAAATGAGAGAAGTGAGAATTGATTTGAAGGTGGGCTTGTTAATTTAAAAGGGAACTTAAACTTTGGGAGATTCTTATTACTGTCTAAATACTATATATTTTCCTCATTTATTATGTTTCTGCCTGCTCCCCACCCAAAAATGTAAGTTCCATGAGGGCAGGAAGCAAACTTAGGTTTGTTTACTGGTGTCTCCCCAGTGCCAGGAACCTCTGACACAAAGCAGATACTTAATAAATATTTGTGGAATGAATGAGTCAGTTAGTGACTGTCAGTCATAGGCATCTCATGGTCATGTCTTGTAATCCTCCCAACTACCCTTTGTATTATTAGTTCATTTTAAAGATGAGTAAATTGAAACCCAGGGAAGATGTACAATTTCCTGAAGGTTCCCTAGCTAATAGGTTGAAAGATTGGATTTCAACCCAGACTATATAACTCCAGAGCCCTTGTTCCTAACTTGGGTACTGGCCCTCTGTGAACTGAAAGTGACTTTTTTTAAAAAACAGATTTATTTATTTATGCCTACAAGAACTGGGATCTAGGCCAGGGGTATGGGGGCATGAGAGGATTCACCAGAGACAGAGAGGGGATCAGAACAGGTGTACCTACTGACATACACTGCTGAGGGGAGCAGTGGGTGAGACAGGAGAGGTCTGCTGCACCATGCCACATGGGTCACCTCCCT